TGCCAAGAGAAATCAGGAATGATCAGCCATGCCATTTACTGCTAGGAATTCAAGTAACATGAACACTTAAATATCCATTGGAATCACCATCCAAGAAGCCATTAATGACCCTGGTAAGGGCAATTTCAGGGACTCCTTTCCTTCTCTACACTCAACTATTGTCTCATGAGCACAATAAACTAATTCATATCCTTGAACTCTTCTTCAACCCATCTGGCAAATTCAGAAACTCTCCTCTACATCCAGCCTGGACTGCTGAACATTGCTGGTGGAACTGTACAACTGGAGTACTGCAAAGTCAGTCGCCAAACTTAGCCGGACGCTCAACTCATAAATTTTTATCTTCCCTTGATAAGAGACTTCTCTCCTTGATGATTCCAATCCTTAACCACAATTCTATCTACCCTGTTCCTGTCACTCTCAGATGACTCAATTTCCTATTAATTTGACAAAATTAGGACATGAAATCCAACATGTTTGGAGCATACAAATTTACCTTGTCCTCCAATCTCAATAGCCATCCACTGTTTTGTTCAAGAACAATCTCAGTTTCAATTTACCATCTTAATCCTGTCTCCTTTGGGACATTAGACTCCTCCTCCTTGACCCCATGTACTCCAATCTCCTTTGGGGCATTATCCCACTCCTGGTAATATCTTAAATACTTTCTCCTTTCTTTCAGTTTGCTATGTTCAATTATTTCCTAACCGTAAAAATTAATCCTGAAACCACTTTTAACTCTGTCCCACATAACCTTTTCCTAAAGCAGCCAAACTCTAAAGAATAGCTTATATCCACTATTCTCAACTTTTTCAATTTCCACTATCTCCTCAATTCCTACTATTTCATTTAAATGGCCCCTGCCAATGCAGCTAGGGATATATCATTTTACTACATGAAACCATTTCCATGACATTTCCCTCTTCTGACTCTTTTTTCAGTCCTTTCCTTTTTCAGCTCTTCCTCTTAGTAGCACCTCCTTGTTACACAAGTGAGAAACCTAGTCCGTGATTTCTCCTTCAATTCCCTTAACTAATCACATTGTCCTACTGATTTTATTCCTCAATGTTTTACGTGTACCTTCCTCTCTATTCCTATAGTATTGTTCAGGGTCTCATAAACTTAAGTGAATTATCATACTTGCCTCCCTAACTGGTCTCCTTGCCTAACACACATCTTGCTTGGGATCTTCTCTAGGAATCCTTTCACAACCAGTCTACAATTTGAGTTTATAAGCCTGTCCTATATACCAGGGGTCCCCAACTCCCAGGCCGCTGACCAGTAGCAGTCCTCGGCCTGTTATGAACCAGGTCACACAGCAGGAGGTGAATGGTGGGCAAGTGAGTGAAAAAGCTTCATCTGTATTTGCAGCCGCTCCCCAGTGCTAGCATCACAGCTTCAGCTCCACCCCAGATTACCAGGCATTAAATTCTCACAGGAGCACCGGTCCCTGGTGCCAAAAAATTGGAGAGGACTGCTTTATACTACTATGCATTCTGAGAATATCTCTATCCCAGCACCTATCACACCAGTTGAAATGATCTGCTCAAGTATTTCTCTCCTTTGAGGGCAAGTGCTGGACTTTATTCAACTTTATATCTCTAGCATCTATCTAGGAGCCAGGCAAAAACTTTGTTCTCTTTTGTATCTTCTGAATATTCTCCCACAGGAAGGCATGGCCAAGGACAAAAATTTACTAAATCATTAAAAGTGAAACAAATCATTTCTTAAAATAAAATGGCTTCTCAGTAGCAGTTTGGATTGCTTTTCTTCTCTAATCTTTCATTCTTTTCTTACAAATTCAAATATGTTGATGACTCATAAGTCAATGTCTCCAGCTCTGTCCTTTAAACTTGACACCAATTCTAAATTTTCAACTGTTTATTGGAAATTTCTATTCAGATATCCCATTATCTTCATACTGAATATGTTCACACTAAACTTAAAATACCATCCCACCTAACTCTGTGATTCTATTTCCTTGCCATTTTGAACTCTGTGGACAAAGTAATAGGATTATTACTACTATTGTTATTTCAAAGGTAAAAAGAGAGTTTCATAAAATGACTTTTTGAAAGGAAGGCAATCTATGATCAAAACAGTTTCTCCTTAAGAAAGCTAATAGAATAAACCTTTGTTTCCAGCACAATCAGTGTTACTTTAGCTTTCCTGATAACTTTAAGAAAATGTAAAATATATCAAATTTCTACCTGATTTTCTTAGCCACTGCTTTACTATCATGGAAAAAGATTAGCATTAGATCAGTCCTAGGGGGTAAAATAAAAGGGTGAGGCACTAATAGCAAACATGACACTAATTCAGGGATTATTCACTCAAATATTCACACAATCTCTGGGAGTTATTCACACATACTCAGAGAGGTATCCTGGCTTTTGGTTCCAGAAAGATTTGGGATACAAGCTAGCTCTGACACTGACAGTTACCAGGCATACAATCCCCTCTGGATGTTTCCTCATCTGTAAAACAATAGGGTGGCAATGACCTCCACCATGCAGAGTTGTTATGAAGATTACTCGTAACATATATAAAACATCTGGCTCTTAATTATATATACCATCATTCTCTCTCCTAATCCAGCCATTTTAACATATATAAAAAAGTGGAAAATTGTTAAGTCCCTTCTGCTATGACCAACAGACAGAAATTTCTTATTGAGTAAAATCTCATTCTCTGAGGCTCTTGGATCCTTCTCTTCGGTCTCGCCTTTGCAGGTCTCTTCAGGGTACTATTCAATGCCTCCGCGCACGCTTTGCCGGACTAGGGTTGGGAGTTGGGTCTTCCCTAGTCTGGCGACGGGCCTGAGGAGAACAGCTATGAGCCAAACAGTTTCGATTTGATTTGTTTTGTTTGGAGCGCATCAGATAATAGGCTCCGGAGACAGGGAAGGCTGAATGGGATCTGGAATTTCTCACCTCCACCGGCGCGGAACGGGGAAAGTCGAACCGCTCAGGACCGCCACGACAGCGGAACTTTCCAGTCAGCCCCACGAACCCGTTCGCTCACTCGCGACTTCTCACTCTCGCGCAGCTTTACTGAGTCCTCAGACCTAACCGCTAGATGCCGCACGCCGCAGTGTATCCCGGCAACAGGGGCGGGGCGAGAGGCATCTCCTCCTCATTGGCCAATCCTCGACTTCAGCTCCTTGTCCCTACTAGCGAAGCGGGCGTAAAAATTTCTCGCGATATTTGAGGAATTGTTTTCTAAATCTCTCAGGGCCTTTCGGGAAGAAATGGAGAACGGCGGGATGGCTAGAAAAGAACTTCTTATTCGAAGACCTTGGTTTTCTTTATACTCAAAGCAACCTCTCCGATTGTGTGCCCGACCTGAACTCACTCCTCGCGAGTTTTATGATATCGCAATGTAATCTAACTTCTACAGTGTAATACCTTGAGTTTTTAATAAGACGTTTGAAGTTACTCAGTGGTAAGCGCATTGTGCAGACGTTTTACTTCTAATCAGTGGTAGTCTTCCTTCCTGTTAGGACTGCATAACATAAACAATACAACATTAAGTATGGGTGCGATTCCAGCACCATCTGTTCCTCATTTCATTGGAAGCTTCATATCTTTAAGCTTCCTTTCAGAGTTCTTTTGAGTCAAGTTTTTGAGAAAGGCTGCATTAAATGGAAAGTGGTCTTAAAAGAATTATTTTAAAACCAATGTTTAAAAAAACAATTTAAGGACTACTTCATCTCAAATTCCACCTCTCTAATAAAGTAACTTACAATTTTTCTTTGTCTTCCTATATATAGGCAGACCTGACATGTTACTGTAACATACATAACAGATGCATATTGTAATCACACATACATATTGGACTAATATTTTTCACATTATTTCCAACTTGCATACATTATATGCAGACTTATCCTCTTATATGTCTGTTTTTAAATAGTTTAAAATCGATAGAATGCCAAATGAAATAATGTCATGGACTGAGTTCTCAGTTTTCATTTTCATGTAATTGCGCCATTTGAATCTAATATATTTGTAGTGGTCATTGGTATCCTTTGGTCACTGTAGTGAAGGGAAGTAGAATTTGCCACCCCAAAATATGACACTTTAGTATAAGGATTATTTTAAGCTGAAGGAAACCGGAAAAAAAGCAAAAACAAGAAAAGCTCTTTTGCCTAAAAGAGGAGATAAATTTTCAAAGGTTTTTCTTCTTGCCTCTCCACCAGGAAGCACAAAAGTTAGCAACAGGAGACAACTTTAAACACTTTATCAGCCTGTAGACTGCACTGGAAGAACCTACATAAAAAACTTTACTAATTGGCCTTCATCTATATATTTGCCTTTGAATAATTTGCTGCATCTAAAGGCAAACATTTATTGTTTTTGTTAAGACGCTCTATAAACTCAAGCCCTGTCCACCTCTGTGAGATACTCATCCCTGAGTTTCTCCCCTGTATATATATTTTTCTGTTGTTATATTTTGTTACAGAGCCCCAGCAGAAAACCTGGAAAGGTAGAAAGAAAAAAGATATTTCTTTCTCTACAACCTTTAACTGTTCACCTCTTCTAAATAGTGTCAGTGGTTACTGACGTTATGCTGATTTCCCCCTCCGTGTTTTTATAAGTATGGGAGAGAGACTCAACATGTCACTCGTATATGTGACAGTTGAGAAAACTATTTTAAATCTTTGAATTGCTTAACACAAAAGATATATATTTTAAAGTACCAAGAATCCAGTTTAGCGTTCACAGAATTTAAGGAAAGCGATTGTTCTGAATTTGGCCCCAAGCTCTCTCGTTTTAATTAAAAAACAACGTTTAAGTTGAGACGATGCAGAGAAGGATTGGTAAAATCTGGTTAAAGTTGCCCTAAACAAACACTAAACAATTGCACTCAACCAAAAGGTAGCTCTCAGCCCTCAGGATCAAGATTTAAAATATCTGGATTGCGCGCGTCCCCGGCTCACGCCCCACTGGCGCGTGGCATTGTGGGACTAGTAGTCTCGGCCCACCAGCCGTATTACAATAAACAGTTCCGCCAGAGTTTCTGAAGGACTGGGGCTCGGAAAGGGCCAAATTCGGGCACCTGGGCCGAAGGGCCAGGCGTCAGTATCTCTTCGTGGACTGGCGGTCCAGGGCGCAGGAGGGAAGCAAGCCTTAGCAACACGTCGGCCTCAGCAGTCGGGACGCACACAGTCTGCGTCATGGCGGGCTGAGGCCGATGATGAATTCCGGTGTGCATGTCAGGGTTGCTGTGTCACTCGGCCCTTTCGACGCGCCCCTTCCCTGCCGCCCTTCCGCACCGGCTCTCGGGCTCTTCCGGTCTCCGACCGCTCCTCACCTGCAGGCCCCTCTACTGCCGCGGTCCGACCTCCCCTGCGGACTGATCTCGCGCTGCGCGGGCCCCGGGCGCCGGACCAACAAGGGCCATGGCGAGCGGCGCCGCCAGGTATCGGCTGAGCTGCTCGCTCCCGGGCCACGAGCTGGACGTGCGGGGCCTGGTGTGCTGCCTCTATCCGCCTGGGGCCTTTGTGTCCGTGTCCCGAGACCGCACCACCCGCCTCTGGGTCCCGGACAGGTGAGCGCTGCGAGCCCGGCAGCCCCCCAGCTGTATTGCAAGCTTCCTACCGTGTATGGGAAGAGGATGACTTCCCTGCTCTATCCTGCCCTCTCCCTCTCTTCCCGGCCTTCCCTCTGCTCTGCGCTCCCTCCCAATTGAGAGCCCTGGCACTCTGGGCGCGCAGTATGAGATTGTGATTTGGTGGAATGAGCACCGGATTGGGGACACACACAGACTTACTTTCTCGCGCTAACATGACACCACTAGCGAGGGGGTGACCTTGGACGAACCTCTTACCTTTTGGGGCTTACCTTTCGATGATTTCCCATGTTTCTTTTAGATTTGAAAATTTGTTGATGCCAGGTGCTTTCTCCTAAATGAAGCACTGCAAAAGCATCTGCCATGTAATTGAACTATTTCAAACTTAGAATTTGCTTAGTAGTCTTCCTTCATATTTGAAAACCTTAGTTCTCAAAAATTGCGTTGCAGAAAGTTGTTTGCCTCCTTTTCTTTTTGTCTGAGTCAGAATTTCTTAGTCTGATGTCTGTGGTGGACTTGGATGGAAGGGATGAAACTTCTCAGATGTTTTATATGAATGTGTGGGGTTGTGCTCACAAGAGAAAGTCCATTGCCTTTTAAAAACTGTCAGAGAAACCAAAAAAAAAAAAAAAAAAGATTAAGAAGCAGAAGGTTAAGCTCCAGTCCAAATCAAGTTCAAGGGTTCAGCCCTGATTTGGCTGCTTGTAACAAAAAATGTATGATGTGGAAGACAGATTCCAGTTCAAAAAGAGAAAGATTGAGTTGCTTTGCCTCCTATCAGTAGAGATTTCACTCATAGTTTGGGTTACCATCCATAAATTCAGATGATAACTATTGATTGAGTGCCCCCTATTTGTTTGAGATTCTGAAGAATAAGAGAACAACTTCTCGTGTTTACAGAGCTTTATTACAGTGTGGGAGGGAAGAAGGATCAAACAACAAGCAAGTAGGTACATATTGGCATGTGTGCTATGAAGAAAACAAATATGTATCTAGAACTGAGTGGAGAGAGATGTTAAAGAAGGAAGCATCTCTGAAGTGTTTTTTTGTTCGTGTTTTTTGTTTGTTTTGTTTTTAATTCTGGCACAAATGGAACTGGTCATGAGATCAAGGAATGTGGTAGGTTTAATTGGAAGAGTACTGTAGGCGGTAGGAGGAGCAAACACAGAGGCCCTGGATCGAGGAGGAGATTTGCAGGAGGGAATGAGCTGTGAGGTGAGGGCAAGTCTTAGAGGCTGGCAGGAGCCACATCGTGCTTTGGTAAGAGGGCTGAGGAAGGAATTTAATAGGTAGAAGACTTCAAATTGTTTCAAGCAAGGAGCAGCATTGATTCGATTTACCTGTTGAGAAGTTTCTGCTAGCTGCTGGTAGAGATTGGATTGCAAAGGGTTAAATATGGAAGTAGATCCAAAGCCTTTTTGGAGACTTTTGCAGTGGTGCAGCTAAGACATGATGATATACTAGACGAGGGATATTGTAGAGCAAACTCCAGTATTGAATTAGATGAGATGACCTCCAAAGATTTCTTCTAACTCTAAAGATTTTGTGATATCCCAAACTACTTAGTAACAGTATACATAACTTTTTGTGCATTTGCGTACAATTACTGATTAAGCTTGTATATTTAAAATTGAGTACAGTAAAAGCATATGCCCAGTAGGTTATAAACATTGCAGTAAAGAATATTAAAGAGGATGCCAGTAGTTGAATTCTAATTAAACTTTTATATGTTGTGTATGAGTGTGCTAGGTTAACAAAAACTTAAATCACCTTAGTGGTTACATTTACCAGGAAGTTGAACTTTGGGCTGAAACTATCCTCTTTAGTAAGATAAGGTAGTTTTACCTCATATTTCCAATTGTTCAGGGTAGAGCATCTCAGTAACGAGATGATGAACCTCTTATACATTCCTAACTAGAGTGTCTCAACCATACCTTTAGTGTTATAAAAATGTCCCCAAGGCTGACATCCTGACAATTTCTATTTCATGGTGTATTAATAAAGTTAAGTGCTGTGAAATGTTTGGAGCCAAGTAGTAAGTGAAAATTGTTTTCCGGGGGGTGGCTCCATAGTGTAGTGGTTAGTACATCTGCTTTACACACAGAAGGTCCTGGGTTAGCACCCCAGGTGGAGCCATGGACCATATCCTGGGTGTGCCAGGCCCCCCGGGTGCTCCAGGCCTGCGGGTGCATTCCGCAAGCATGTGGGAGGAGACGCCCCACCTTCAGTTCTTAAGGGGAAATGGCAACATCCATAGGTCAGGGGTGGGGGGTGGAGGGGCGATTAAAGAGGAGGAGAAAAAAAAAAAATTGTTTTCCATAGGGTTCTGGATCAAGATAGTGTAGGGACGGACTGGGAATGATGGGAGAATTTAATTTAGTTTCAGGGAGGCACAACAGTTATATTTTAGGGTGGACTAAATCAGATACCACATCTTTCACAAAAGCCCATCAGGAATCCAGAAAGTCCTGGCCTTCTGAAGGCCCTTAAGAAAGAAGACTTTTTTTTTTTTGGTTGTTCATTAAACCCAACCAAGTAGCATGCCATTGTTTGAGACTGCTTCAGGCCTCTATAAGCCCACTTCAGATTAAACTGAATTTCCCAAGTCTATCACCAAATATTGCTTTGCCTTTTGAAAACTTCCCATATTTGAAAGATGCCAGTTCAGGTTTAAGATCTTGCATTAAATCTTCCCTGATCATGCCAAGGCTGAAGTGACTTTTTCCTTGTGCGAACACTCAGCCCTTTGGATCCTTAGTCAAATAGTGCTATGGGGTTTGTTAAGTAATCAGAGCCATTTCATTCCCACCCCCTATTTCCCTTCCTTGGAGGCAAAATTTTTATCTTTTTTAACTGCTTATTTTTGTATTTTACTTCCATGTCTTTATAAAGTGCTATACTTGGGGGATACATTCTGAGAAATGCATCCTTAGGTGATTTCGTAAACATCATAGAATGCACTTACAGAGAAACCTTGATGATATATCCAATTACACACCTGGGCTATTCAGTATATAGCATATTTTTCCTAGGTTACAAGCCTGTTACAGCATGAGATTAAATCAAGCATAAGAGAAAAATGATGCAATCACGAGACTCAGTAAGTAAGGTGTATGAGACTGCTGCTGGAATAACATGTCATACTGTTTTACAGCAAACTTTTTTTTAATAGATAGAAAGAGTACACCTTTAAATAATGATGAAAAGTATATAAAGGAAATATATAAACCAGTAACATGGTCATTTGTTATCATTATTATTATGTACTATACCTAATTGTATGTGCTATATTTTTATACAAGTGGCAGTACAGTAGGTTGGTTTACACCAGCATCACCACAAACATGTAATACATTGTGCTAAGACTGTATCATGGCTAAGCTATAGGAATTTTTCAGCTCCATTATAATCTTATGGGACAGTCATAATACATGCAGTTCATCCTTGACTGAAACATTATGTGGCATGTGACTATTACTATTTCTCTTTTTATCTTTAAATTATTTTATTCTAGGTATTTTTCATAGTTCTTATTATAGAATATGAAAATTTAGTGCTGTTTCTACCTTCTACCAACCCCTATCACATATGCACCCTTTCTATGCCCTGACTCTTATAGCTTAACTTAATTTAAACTGAATTAGTATTTTGTGACTGTACAGAATCTGTCTACACCTGAGCTATGGAATAAACTGTAACTTTTCCTCAACAATTTTGTGATCTCCCTGTAGCTACTAATTGCCTAGTTTTTGGTTTTCATTTGGTTAATTTTCTATGTGTTAATCACTAATTCAACCTCAAATTCTTTGCTAGTTGTCTCACTTTCCTCTCAAGACCTTAAGACACACTGCATATTTTATAATTTCATCTTCCCAACAATAAAATTTCATCTTCCCAACAGTAAAAACTTCCTGATCTGGTCATTCTGTCCCTGATACACAACTAATACTGGGATCTCCCTTTCCTGTCATCTCTACATTGTGTTTTTAGACTTCTTATGTTTTCTGTTATCAGTATCCTTTTACTTTCTTTCTTGGTTTTCTTCCTTGATGTCTTATTGGAGCACATCCAGGAGTTTCCTGAAATACAGTGCATTAATAATAATGTATTATTAAGACCTTGCAAGTCTGAAAATGATTTTTATTTGAATAATAAAAATCAAATAGTTTAAATGTTTGAATAACAGTTTAAATGTTTGTAGCATTCAAATTTCCAAATAATTTTCTTCAGAATTTTGAAAAATAGTTTAAATGTTTGTAGCATTCTAATTTCCAAATAATTTTCTTCCAGAATTTTGAAGCCATTGCTCATTGTATTACCTCTAGTGTTACCGTTGAGAAGTTTGAAGCCATTATGATTCTTGACCTATTATTTTTCTCCCTGGAAGGCAGTCAGTATTCATCTATTGTTCAGGGTCGTTAGTGGACCCTTTTTAATATGAAAACTAACATCCATAATTTCTGGGATTTTTTTTCTTTGGTTTCATTCTCTCCATTTTCTCTATCTTCTTTTCTGGAATATTTTATTCAGATGTTGGGCTTGTTTCTAAATCTACCTTCCCCAATATACTTTCTCAGAAATTGCCTTGATTTTTTGTGAAATTATGTCTTTGTTTCATGGTTGCAGTATCTTATATCTCTAAGGATGGTAATGGTGATTTTGTTGTTGTTTCTCCTTGGTGGTCTGTCTGTTCCAAACTGGTTTTTTTCCCCTGTCTATTTGATTTGATCACTATATTTCCTGTTGGGGGAAGCTTTACCCAGGTGTCTGATAATCTTTATTCTGTGCTCTGCTCATGGTAGGGCTTGCTGGATGTGAGTTTCACTGTAGAGTTATCTAGTTGGACCATTTTATTGGGTTGATCTCCTGCCTGGAGGATGAGTGCCTGGCCTCCTGGGTTTTCTCTTCCGTGGTCTTGGACTCCATTATGAATGTACATGTTCCTTATACCCCAGGGGTGAACTGTGCTCTGTGTCCTCTTAGTCAAACACCTTTTTTACCTTTTTAAAGAAAAAGCTCCAGACTTTATGCTGGGGGCAAGAGGGGCATTTGTCTAGCTGAGATGTCTAGGTGCTTTTTTTTTTGTTTTTTATTAATACTTCCAAGTATTTGATTGATTCAAAAAATGCTTAATCCTTACCATATAGTATATTATGCTAGGAACTTGGGAAGATAAAAAGAAGAACCAAGTCTGGATTCTGCCATTAAGAACTTCACACACCAATACAGAAGATGCACACAAACATCTATACTGGGAAGTGCTGAAGAACACACATAAGTGGATTTAGTGATTTACATAATATAAATCTTTTAAATTTGTTTGGATTTATTGATAAAGCAGTTTCTAAAAGCACATTTAAAAAAGTGGAAAGTTAAAAATAGCTACTACTAAATACCCTCCTTTAAAGATTTTTTTCATATGATTCAGCTTCTGACCGATTCTGAAAACTTGGAACTAGTCTTTCTTATTTTAGTTCCTACCCTTTTTTTGTTCTCATTTCTAGAGGTACATAATGCCGCTAGTTCTTGAACCTTTTGGGGATTCGTTGGTAAGCTGGTGTCAGCTTTCCTACTACCTAGGTAGGTAAGTAGGTAGGTAGGTAGGTAGGTAGGTAGATAGATAGATAGATAGATAGATAGATAGATAGATAGATAGATAGAAAGATAGATAGATAGATAGATAGATAGATAGATAGATAGATAGATAGATAGATAGATAGATAGATAGATAGATAGATAGATAGATAGATAGATAGATAGATAGATAGATAGATAGATAGATAGATAGATAGATAGATAGATAGATAGATAGATAGATAGATAGATAGATAGATAGATAGATAGATAGATAGATAGATAGATAGATAGATAGATAGATAGATAGATAGATAGATAGATAGATAGATAGATAGATAGATAGATAGATAGATAGATAGATAGATAGATAGATAGATAGATAGATAGATAGATAGATAGATAGATAGATAGATAGATAGATAGATAGATAGATAGATAGATAGATAGATAGATAGATAGATAGATAGATAGATAGATAGATAGATAGATAGATAGATAGATAGATAGATAGATAGATAGATAGATAGATAGATAGATAGATAGATAGATAGATAGATAGATAGATAGATAGATAGATAGATAGATAGATAGATAGATAGATAGATAGATAGATAGATAGATAGATAGATAGATAGATAGATAGATAGATAGATAGATAGATAGATAGATAGATAGATAGATAGATAGATAGATAGATAGATAGATAGATAGATAGATAGATAGATAGATAGATAGATAGATAGATAGATAGATAGATAGATAGATAGATAGATAGATAGATAGATAGATAGATAGATAGATAGATAGATAGATAGATAGATAGATAGATAGATAGGATAGGTAGAAAGATATAAATATATACATGTACATATATCTATATGAGTACATAGGTACATATGGATATATAGGTAAAGGCATAAACCTGAGAGACAGACAGACAGACAGACAGACAGAGAACACATGTATATTGTTTTAGTGATGTTTGGGAAGAGTGAAACTAGATAAGTATGTTCGGTCTCTACCTAGGAATCTTATCTCTTTATGTGCACTTGTCTCATCTCCCTTCATCTAGATGGCAAACTCCTTGGTTTAGCTTGAGTTAGGGATATTATTCTTTATATCCCTCTCAGCAGATAACTTACTATCTATATCATAATCTGTTGTTTGACTTATTATGTAAATCAGTGATGCTAAGTGACATGTATAACAAATTGGTAATCATTCTAATCCCAAGGCAGTTAATGTACTGTGTCCCTAGAGCAATCATTTATATATCTCTATATTAGTTCCTTTAGTTTCCATATTGAGAATGATTGATATTCTAATTATTTAGATACAGTAGTATAGTTATGGGTACTAACTTAATGTTTCATAGTGTGAAAATTTCATCACTGTGTTTAAGGTTTATTGATAGTGGGTTCCGTTATCCTAATGGCATGAATGTTTCACTTCACCAGGAGTATTTTTAGGGCAACAATTACTGATGAATAGAAATGAAGATGGAGAATGAGGAAAAGCCACTTGAGATATTGGTTTTCCTCCCTTTTGTTCCTTGTTCTTCCTAATAATTAACATACTATTATCAATGAAAACCTAATTAAACTTCTAATCTGATATAAACCTTTATAGTAGCTAATATGTAAATTAGCTACTTAATATTTAATTTAAAACAATAGATACTTAAAATAGTATGTACTCTATAAAGTTCAACCTAAACACTAAATGAAAATGAGTACTTTGACAATTTATGTCCTAGGCTAAGTCAGGGAACAGATATATGTCTTATTAATTATCATTTCCTTCCAGTCCTAACAGGGGCTTTACAGAAATGCACTGTATGAGTGGCCACTCCAATTTCGTATCTTGCGTATGCATCATACCTTCAAGTGATGTATACCCTCATGGACTAATCGCCACTGGAGGAAATGACCACAATATTTGCATTTTCTCTCTGGAAAGTCCAGCTCCACTTTATATACTAAAAGGTCACAAAAATACTGGTGAGTATAATGTTTCGGTATTTTTCTATTTGAAAAAGTTTCATCCTTTCGAAAGTAAAATTCACATATCCATTTTCCCTGGTTTTTATTATGTTTGTTTTACCTAGAGCTAATAGGCTTGATAGTGAAAACCTTTTTGAATCATCATCGTTCTATAAATCCTCTGTTACAGAGTTACCGTTGTAATCAGTAAACGCCAGTGTGCTTATATATTTAAAAAGTAAAGTGTTCAGTTATAAAAGAAAGAGGCTATATAATTTCTATACACTTTGTGATTTTGGTTTTTCGACTATTTTGTGCAAGCAGTTCATTTCCTCAAACAATGAAGAGTATTTCTTTATCTTTTGACTGTTACATCTATATTTGTATAGCAATTGAATGCGTATAAAGGTCTGGTATCATTATTGAAGAGTATTTTATATTTTAAATATTATTTTCTGTGATTTCTATATATTTCTGATTTCCTTATACTCCTGATTTGTGTATGGCTTAGCAGCTCTTATAAAATGATATGCTTAGCAGTGCAGTATGTGTACTTCTTTTTTTTTATGTATCTGGAATAATTTGGGATGTTCGTAAGCAAATAGTATGGCCCACAAACACTTTAAACTTAATTCTTTTAAAGAGTTTGTAAATGTTTTGTGTGTATGTACGTGAAATCTTCAATACAGAGTGATTAAATTTTTAGCTTTATTGTAGAAATGTTTAAATGTATACAAGAGACAATAATTTATATTGAGTTGTATATAAACATAAATAAAAGAGAGTAATGATCTCTTCCACCCATGTATTTTACATAGCTTCAAAGATTATCAACACATGGCCTATCTCGTTTCATCTTCCCCTTTCACAACATTACTTTAAAGGAAATTTCCAATATACTATTTTATTTGTAAATACTTCTGTACGTAGCTCTAAAATAAGGTTTGACAAACTTCTTCTGTATAGGGCCACATGGCCACTTTCACAACTACTAAGCTCCGGCATGTGCAAAAGCAGCCATTGATAATAAACAAATGAGTGTGTCTGTGTTTCAGTAAATCTTTATCTATGGACACTGAAATTTAGATGTTATATCATTTTCACATGTCAGGAAATATCTTTTGATTTTTTTTACCACCCCAACTACTTAAAAATGTAAAGGAAAAATTCTTAGTTTGCGTACTGTACAAAAGCACGTGGTCTGCAGGCCACAGTTTGCTGACTCCTTTAAAAGGTAAGGATTCCTTCTCTCTCTTTAAACAATATCATTATCACACCTAAAACAAAACAAAACAAAACCTATTTTTTCATTATATCTAATGAATGTTCAAATTTGCCCAGTGTCTCATAATTTTTTTTATAGTTTATTTAAATTGTGACCCAATCAAGGTCCACATGTCTTTCAGTCTATTAGTTTATTTCCTCCCCCACACACCCTCTATTTGAAACCAGCTTATTTTGCCTGTAGAATTTCCCACAATCAGAACTTTGTTGATTAAAGCCTTGCCATTCCCTTTAACATGTTCCACAGTCCCCTGTATCTCTTGTAAGCTGTTAGATCTAGAAGCTTGATCAAATTCAGATTCAAGTTTTTGGCAAGAACACTTTATGGGTAGTATTGTGTACTTTTTGTTGTAGCTCATCAAGAGGCACATACTAATCTCTTTCTGTGATGTTAAGATCAGTGGGTTCAACTGTACTGAGTATTGTCCATTCATTATAAAATTTCCGTCAGCCTTTTATATAATGGTTTTTAGCATCTGTTGATGGTATTGCATAGATCCAGTATTTCATTAAGATTTGCAAAATGATTATACTCTAATTCTGTCATTATTTCGGTGTTTAATACCTGGCATTTTTCTACATATAACTTTCCCACATCAACTCTTTGGTTACCATGTGAGACTTTTATACAAAGATAGGATAAATGCTTGCCTTGTCCCCTCCCACCTCTTTTACTGGGTTTCAAAATGACTTGATTCTATAATTTTTTTTTTTTTTTTTTAATTCTCAAATTGTCCCATATTTGGCCATTGGAAACCTCTTTAAATTGGCTTGTGTGGCCAGAGAATAAATCTCCATTCTCCTGCAGTGGGTGAGGATGCACTTTCTTGACACTACAGCTAAAAGGAGAAATCTAGTATCTCACTGTTGTATTAGAATCACTCTTCTCATTTTTCAAGTCTTCTGCTTAGCCACGTCCTCCATGGAACCAAGTACTGGATACTGAGTCTCATAATTGTGGTGCTTCTAATCACCCCTCTAGGTATTTAAATTATAATCTCCATTTTACTAAGTCAGTTATGTTATTATTTTTTTTTGTCCTTGTAGATTAATACCATTTATAGCATTACTATGGACAGTCTGCCATTTTTAATCATAATTCTGTCTTTTGTTTCCATGATTTTAGATAATTTTTTATATTAAAAATTTTTCAGCCTATGTAATTTTACATTAATAAGACATTTAATTAACCTTTCCATTACCGTTGAACGTTTAGCTTGGCTTCAGTTGTATTGTCATTTTAACTAAAGTGACCCTAAATATCTATATAAACAGCATTTCAAAATCTTTTACATTATTTTCCCATGTAGTTTCTAAGAACTGGAAGGGGTTGTGCAACCTACATAATCCTGCTTCCTCATTTTACAGAGGAGGAATCTGAGGTTAGGTAATATCCCTATGGTCAGACAGCTCATAAATGGCATCGTGTAAGTGGACCCTGGCAGTGTGACAACAGAAGCTGTGCTCTTGACCACTGCACTCTTCTGCATCTCCACTGAGTTAAGTCTTAATAGGCTAAAATACTGTTACTTCACAAAATGTTTTTAAAATTGCAATACTTTAATAACTAACAAGTTTGAGTATTTTTTAATGAAATGTGTTACTGCCTTTTTTCCCTTTAGTCTGTAGTCTTTCATCTGGAAAATTTGGGACATTACTTAGTGGCTCATGGGACACCACTGCTAAAGTCTGGCTGAATGACAAATGCATGATGACCTTACAGGTACAGTAGTTCTATGTGAGTATTCTAGGTAATAATTAAATACTATGATACTGTGCCATTTTAAATTAATACTCGTTTTACTTACAGGGTCATACAGCTGCAGTATGGGCAGTAAAGATCTTACCTGAACAGGGCTTAATGTTAACTGGATCAGCAGACAAGACTATTAAACTGTGGAAGGCTGGAAGATGTGAGAGGACTTTTTCAGGTAAGATCGGAGTAGACAACTTTTACTTAAAAAGTTGTTTCATATTTACTCATCGCTCTATATTGACTCAAATGGTCTTTTTCTCAAAGGCACAGAAGCTTGAAAATGGTATTTGAAAAACGTAGTCATATATCTTTTTAAAAGATGTAATGAAACCTCATTAAATAACCAGATGTGGACTAATAAATAGATACCTGATAGGCTATAATATGTGTATGTGCATCTCTGAATTATGTATATGTAATTTTTGGTATGCAGTTATGTTTTTGCTTGTCATTTGAACTAGTTCAGTTTGAAACCTCCAAGCATAAGCCGTATTTAATGGTGGATCAGTAGTGTTATCTTTATATATGGAAGAAAACACCATAAGTGCTTTTATTAACATTGAAGTACATTGTTTAATAATAAATTTCAGGCTGTGTTTATGTGGTGGTTTAGGTGGGTAGTCTTTTTAAACCTTAGCTATTAAATAACTCCTACACTGAGGCATCTGCTTTGTAATATTAGTATTGATGATTTATTTGTGTGGTACTCATTGTTTGTGGTGTGAATTTTTTTGTTGTTTTTTTCTCACTTTTATTTACTTTTTAAAAGGTGATCACCACCTGGTTAATACTGCAAAAAGTCCCTTTGTGCAAATAAAACTATCTTTAGATGAAAAATAGAGATTGAGTTATAATAAGCATCTCTGTTTTTGCTTTCATACATACATATATGTATCAAGTTGTTATTAATCTGTGATAACTAATCTAAGTTAGCAAATATTGAACATGGGGAAGGTTTTTACTTCTGATCTTCTTTATTAGATCACAAGCTTCAGAGAATGTTTTGTCCTTTAAAAAAATTCTATAAGGCTTCAATTAATGTTGAAAGAAATTGAATTTTATCAAACTTTTTGAAAACATTTAATATACTTTGGTAAGTGGAATATAAATGTGTACTATATAGACAGTTACATAATTAAGAACATTATGCAAGTAGTTTATTCTATAAAGTCTTGCTGTTTTAAAGAACCAGTAATCATTAGTTTTTACTTTATCATTTTAATGCCTGCATTATAGAAATTGTGAAATGTTTTCATTGATAAAGCAGCCGTGTTTGGCTTTATATTTACATTTTGGTTGAATCAAAATAGATAGGATTATGAGGCAGGAAACTTGAATTCTTGTTTTAGCTTTGCCACTAAGTGTATGCTTTTAGAGAAGTTAATGTCTTTCAACCTATCCTTGCATATTTGAATAAAGTTTACTATTCTATGATGATTTTATTTCCACTCTTAAATAATTGGAGGTTTTTATAATATTTTCTTAATTTTCTCTGGTGTTTTATATTAATTTCAGTATTATGTGGTGAGAAACTTAAGGGATATTTTTTGTTATATATTTCTGTTACATTTGAATATTGTATATGTTGTGAATTACTCTTGTTATTGAGAGGAAAGGGCCAAAATGAAATGTTAGATAAAAAGGGAGAATTTGGATCAAAATCCTATTTCTGGAGGGTATTAAGAAATAATTTGGAGAAAATACAATAAATATAAAATAACTTCTCAAGACTGGTGATAAAAAAGATATTGCCAAACTTAAAATACAAATATTGGTTATCAGGCTTTTCTACAGAAAAATGAATTTCTCAAAGTTGAAAATCAGTTTTTACTACTCACTGATATGTGTCATACAATGTTAGTGAACTACTTAGAGCCATCTACCAAATGGTCCATTTTATTAATTTACATTATTTTTTTAATATAGGGCACGAAGACTGTGTAAGAGGTTTGGCAATTTTGAGCGAAACAGAATTTCTTTCCTGTGCAAATGATGCCAGTATTAGAAGGTGGCAAATCACTGGCGAGTGTCTGGAAGTGTATTATGGACATACAAATTATATTTATAGCATATCTGTCTTTCCAAATTGTAAAGGTAAGATTATCTTTTACCGTGTATTTAAAATTTTGTATTGACCATTGTTCCATCACATTCTTGAGGGAAGAAGGATTGATGACATAAATCAGTTGATTAACTGTAACTTGAAAAATTTAGTAACTTTATCCAATAAGTATCTTTTTTCTAAAAGAGAAAATTATATGATCGTTTTCATGTTAATTCAGGTTTAATGGTTGTGTTATAAAACGTTCTTAGGCATCCGAAGAAAGACTATATAATTTATTGATATAAAGTATAGTATATAAGATGTGAAAGGTAAAAAAAATGTGATTTTTAAAGTTGTACATACATACGTGACAAATACATAAAATCTAAAACTATAATATAAAAATACTTTGGGGTTAAAAAAATCAGCCTGTCTTAAAAGATGGTATGTATAAATGTATTCAATTTTATTTATTCAAACAAATTTTTTCTCTACTCATTGATTTTAGATTTTGTGACAACAGCAGAAGACAGATCTCTGAGAGTCTGGAAACATGGAGAATGTGCTCAAACAATCCGACTTCCAGCTCAGTCTATATGGTGCTGCTGTGTGCTAGACAATGGTGACATTGTGGTTGGTGCGAGGTATTTATATTTTAGTCAATTAATAAATAATATGGGTGTAGGCCATTGGTAGGCATTAGAGTGCACAAAGATAAGCCATAAGGAATTACAGGGGAATTGGAGAGACTATGTGTATGTACATTTCTGTTATTGAACAAAATAGTAGTAGGTCTAATAGCTTTTACACTAACAATGCAGGATATATTACACCAGTATTGTACTGCAAGTGTGAAGTTGAAACACTGAATACAAAAGAAGTTTGAGAAGGTAGAGACTGATGTGGGAAAACTTTCTGGAGAAGAAATTTGGATGGGATTTTGAAAAATGATTACTAAGAAGGGAAATGAGAATTTTTATCAAAAGAAACAACATAAATAAAGGTGTGCCATGGGAACAAAAGTGATGTGTATAGAAAATGAAGGAAAATGGTGGAGGACTAATGCTGGGGAAAAGTGGATAATAGGTAAGGTGGGGCTTAATTTATGGAGAGCCTCAAATGCCAGGGATTTTTTTAGGTTTAAGTGCTTGGGGTTTAATGGTTTTAGCTTTTGAGGAAGGGGTGATATGATTAAAGCTTAACTTGTGAATTATGAAATATGTTGGTTAAATTTAACTCATGGTGACAATGGGAAAGAAAGCAAATTAAAAAGCAGTTGCAGTAGTTAAGTGTGTCAAGTTTGGAAATATTGGCCCTACAATGCTAATGGATAAGAAACCAAAAGTGAGATAATGCAGAGGAAAAATGGTCAGAAAGGGGATGAAAGAAAAGGATAAAGCTTCAAACTTCTGATGATTGGAAGTCTGCATTAATAAAAATGGGCATGTGGGAGAATTGGTTTGATGCAGATGATGACTTTGATTTTAGACTTTGTGAGGTCCAAGTGGTGGTCAGCCATACTCGCGTCAGTGGATTACGAGCAGTTGAACTGGAGCCTAAAAACTAAGACTGAAGATAAAGATTTGCAAAAACTGCCAAGAGTCAAGCAGTGGACCACTTTTCTCTGAGGGAAGAAGCATAGTAGGGGAGGAACAGAAAACTAAAGACTGAATCTTGTGATATACTATGGGGTAGAGAAAGAGAAGCCAGTAGGTTGAGCAGAAGAATCCAGATGTTGAAATTCAAAAATCAAAAAGGAGAGATTCTGAAGGGAGATTGTGATCAGTGTTAGCAAGTACATGAGGGGTTAAGGAATGGAAAGTTGGAAAAGCTTTTGGATTTGGTTTGAAAGATGTTAATTAGTGACTTTTTTGACATCAGTTTTGGTAGAAAGTGATAAAAGAAGGTGAATAAGAGGAGACAAAAAGTTTTTTGAGGCAACGGGTGAAGGAAAGGGTGAAGGATTATAGACTACTCTGGCATCGAAGGCAAGAAGAAAAATCTGTAAGGGATAGAAGGTCTAATAAATTGGAAGTGTTTTCCGTTCTGGCTGGGCCAGGATTTGCTTTATTGGTTTAATATTTTCCTCCTTAAGCATATTTAAAGGATGAAATTGCCATTAGTGGAAAGTTAAGTAAGAAACAAGTTTTCTGTAGCATTGGGTAGGATTAGTAACGGTTGAAGGTGGCTAACTTGCCTCCTCTACCCCTAAATTTAGAATTGAGAAATCATGGAAATGAAGGCATTTTTCTAAGAATAGAGATTGGGAATTCTATCTAATCCAAATGTGAGGCTGTTCTTTTCTTGATTTGGGTTACATTGGTAATTCGTGGCATATTAAAGGCAGACTCCATGTTTCCCTGGTGAACAGATATTGAGCAGTTATTTCTAAGCCTTATGTTGGGTATTTGAACCCTTTATAAAGTAAACCAGCCCACTAACCTTTATGCAATACTACCTGTGTGATACTTTAAAAGTGTATACTATATCTCTAAATTTGATAGTGAATATTTAACTTGGAATTGAAAATTGTGTTAAATACATATTTCTCTGTTCTTTGCCAGTAACTTTTCCCTAGTCTTTTAACATCCTGTACATTGTTTTAGAGAATAATAGTGTTGAGGTCTGCATAGTGCTATACTCTGCATAGCAGTAACTACATAGTAACATTTTTCATATTCACAAATACAGATTATTTTTGTTTTGGATCATGCGGATGTGATAATGTTAATATACTATGACAATGACTTAAAATCAGTTTGTTTTTCCTTATAGCGATGGCATTATTAGAGTGTTTACAGAATCAGAGGATCGGACAGCAAGTGCTGAAGAAATCAAGGCTTTTGAAAAAGAACTCTCTCAGGCAACCATTGATTCCAAAACTGGTGATTTAGGGGACATTAATGCAGAACAGCTTCCTGGGAGGGAACATCTGAACGAACCTGGTAAATATTTCAGTGCATCTAGTTGTAAAAATTGTTATCATGTTTGCCTTTTGGAGTAATTAAAGTGATTAGAAAAAAAGGTGGTTTTGCTAGTTATTCAGTGTTATTCTCATTGCCAGATACTGATTTTTTTTTTTAGGATTTTTACTAGTAAGCATAACCACTGTGAGAAACCACATTCTTGCCTATCTCATAGTTTTAAAGACTTTTAGCCAAGCTCCCTATAAATGTTTTTATTTTTAAAATAAATCTCTCAATACTTAGCTTATATGTAGTAGGTACTCAAAAGTTACTTATTTAACACTCTTTGATTAATTGGATTCCCTGAGATCGTACAGACTAAAAATAAAAATCAATTTGAATAAAGCAATATCTGCTTAGTAAATTAGGAATCATTTGAGTTTAAAATTGGGGGAAAGTAGGTGTCTCAAATGAAATTTTGTGTTGAATATATTCCTGATCCATAATATCAGTGGTTCTCAGAACTTAGTCCATGGACTCCTGGGAATTCCGAGATCTTTCAGGATGTCCATAAGGTCAAAACTAATTTTATAATAAGATGTTATTTGATTTTTACACTATTTTAACATTTGCTCTTATGATGCAAAAGCAATGTTGGGTAAAACTGCTGGCTCCTTAGTACGCAAATCAAGGCCATGGCATCAAACCGCTCTGGTAGCCATTGTGTTTTTTACTGGTACATGGTTGTAATTTTAAAAAAATGCCATCCGCCCTCAAAAATGTCCTTGATGAAGCATTAGAAAATAATTTTATTACATCTTGACCCTTAAATACATTTTTAAAAATATTCTGCATGTAAATTACATGTAAAGTACACCAAAGTACCATGGTGCAAGAATAAACACTTGTGCAGTCACTTAATTTGCAGGCTGAACTATTCCTTTTTTCATGGAATGCGACTTTTATTTCCAAGAACAACTAACTATGGTTATTCAGGCATAGATATTTGGCAGGAATTTTTTGCTGAACATGTCACTTTAAGAAAAAACAACTTTAGGTGCAAATCGAAATTTTGGAAAATGCGTATCTGCCACCAGGCACTTGATAGCTTCCCGATACTTAAAAGACTGTTCTAATGATACCAGTGGTAATATTAACAAGTGTGATTTTTTTTTTTTAATTGAGTGATAAAACGTGTAAGCATGGAAGATCTACACAGTTCATTTAACCAATATTTTCCAAATGACCAGTTCATGGTGGTATAAATCATGAATATAAAAGATCTGTTCAAAGTATAAGATAGATTTTAGTGTAATAGAGCATGAAAAATTCATTGATATGGTTTCAAATTCTAAATGATAACCTTTAAGGACCTACTACTTATAGAATATTCACATTTTTCTGAAAGGACTATTAAACTAGTCTTCTTTTTTTCAATATATTATCTGTGCAGGCTGGATTTTCTTTATATACTTCGACCAAAACAACAGATTGCAAAAGATTAAATGCAGAGGCAGGTGTGGTAAATTCAGCTGTTTTCTGGAGACAATAAAAAGATTTATAAAAATGGAAAATAATACCAGTTTTCTCATTAAATTTCTAAAAATATACTTATTTTTAATTAAAATATTTATTTAATATGTAAAGGATCTATTATTTTTTTCATTAAATATATTTCTTAGTTTTCCATTTTTAATTTCAAATTCAATAAATCAGTTGATATAACCCACATTAAAAAAAAAAAGCTCAATGGGCTTCTGAATAACTTTTATGACTAAAAGAGATCTTGAAACCAAAAATTTGAGAACTACTGCATTAATATCACGTTTTAACATTTTTATACTTTTTTACAAATTTTAGTCTTTGTCACTATATGTATATGTACACACATAACACACACACATATATATACATACATACAATAAATATTTATTAAGGGCCTAACATGTGCCAGGAATTGTTCTAAGCTCTGGGGAATATAGCAGATAACAAAAGAAGCAAGAATCTCTGTTCTCACAAATTTATGTTCTACAAGAAGATACATAATTAAAAAGCAAATAAGTAAATATATAAGTATGTCAGATAATGATAAGTATAATGGGAAATATATAGCCAGGGTTGGGGCTATTTTATCATTTTAAATACAATGGTCAGGGAATGTATAATAGTTGGGATAACACTGGCTACTGTCACAGATAAACCCTAAAATCTTGGTGGTTTAACACAAAAAAGTTTATTGTGCATTTAATATTCAGTTGATGGCAAGGTATGCTGGAGCATGTTTGTAAAGTAATTTTGCTCCTCATGGTCATTCAGGGACCCAAGCTGATGGAAACCACCATCTTCAACATGTGACTTCCAAGGTTACCTTGGGTATGGACATTCACCCACCTGACAGGGTAAAGGGAGGGTAAAGGATGATGGAGGAGGCCTAGAAATGGCCTATATCAGGAGTCCCCAACCCCAGGGCCACAGACCTGGTCTGCACGGCCTGTTAGGAGCCAGGCTGCACAGCGGTGGACAAGCGAGCGAAGCTTTATCTATATTTGCAGCCACTCCCCAGCGCTAGCATCACCACCTCAGCTCCACCTCACATCATCAGGCATTAGGTTCTCATAGGAGCATAGGTCCCTGGTGCCAAAAAGTTTGGAGACTGCTGGCCTGTATCACATCACACCCACCCAAATTCAATTGACTGTTACTCAGTGTGTAACATCTAGAGACTGCACAATGCAAGGGGGCTGAATAATGTGATCTCTAACTAGACAGCCACAGATCTGCTCAGTGGAATAGGAATATGAATCTCTAGAGGACAGCTAGCTGTCTCTACCTGTGAAGGCCTTGCCAAGAATGTGACATTTCAGGTAAAGTCCTTAAGGAGGCAGGAGAGCAAATCTTGCCCACACCTGTGTCAAGAGTGTTGTAGGCAGAATAAAGAGCCAGTGTAAAGACTGCATGGCTGAAGAGCAATGATAGGATAAAGGGAAAAATAGTGGAAGATGAAGTTAGAGAATGGTAGGGGCAGATTATATTTGACCTTGTACACCACTCCAATGAGATAGGCTTTTATGCAGGGTGAGATGGGAAGTCATTGAAGGATCTCCAGCAGAGAAGTGTCTAGAGCTCCTTAAACTTCTGAAATAATTTCTTTGATTGCTGGGTTGAATATAGACTGTAGGGAGTGCCCAGAGCAGGAATAGGAGACTATTGAATCATTCCAACTGAGAAATGATGGTGGCTTATAGCAATAGAGATGGTGAGAAGAGATAGTTTTCTAGATAAATTTTAAAGACAGACCTGCTTGAATTTGCTGAAAGATTGGTTGTGAGGCTGAGAGAAAGAGGAATCAGACCCTTTTACACTTTTTGGTCTGAGCAATTAGGAATGCAGAGAGTCATTTACTGAAAATGTTGTCAGAAGATATTCAGTAATAAAACTTGTTTTACTTTTGATGGACTAGCTACTTTCTAGTGGAATGTTTTTTTTAACCTTCCTTTATTTAATAAAGTTTCATTTCAACCATTATTTTCTTTTTGGTCACTTTTTAGTAGAATTATATTTTAAAACCCTTTGTTTGATAAAACTTGCTATTAAACGAAAATACAGATTCTCTTTTATGTATAAATTTTAATGTTAAAAATTTTATAGCTAAATGTTTTTGAATTTTACTCTGCCATTCTACCTTTGATTCTCAAAATTTTTATTTTAAGGTACTAGAGAAGGACAGACTCGTCTAATCAGAGATGGGGAGAAAGTCGAAGCCTATCAATGGAGTGTTAGTGAAGGGAGGTGGATAAAAATTGGTGATGTTGTTGGCTCATCTGGTGCTAATCAGCAAACATCTGGCAAAGTTTTATATGAAGGGAAAGTACGTTGACTTCTTACTTTCTAATTACCATTATCTTAAAGCATTCGACAAATTAGTTTTCTTTTTTCTTCATGCTAGTTAAATTTTCTTTCGTGTTTTGACATTTAAAAATAGGTTTCTTGGGGGAAATTCTCTTTTCCCTGTCTTGAAATAGGTTTTTTAAGAATGTCGTTTCATGTAAGCAGAGCTGTCTTTTTTAGACAGATGAGGCATTATTTGTCTTTTAGTAGTTACCGTACATAAGCTGTTTCCAACCATTTCGTATTAGGAGCTTCTGTGCCACCTTTCATCTAATGCTTTATGCCTATATTTAACTTGACAAGACTTGAGGGACCCTGCAGGGCAGTGCTTATCATGCCAGCATGTTTTGATCAGTGGGGCATGATAACAGCTAATACTTTTGGCCTTGAGATCAACCAATTGGAAACTCTCCTTTGGCTTTAGAGTTAAAATGTAATTGTAATCCAACCCGCACCTCTACCCTCAGTGAAATAACTAATCTTGCAGCACATGCAGATGGTTGCTACTAATCATTACATGCCAAGTGGAACTGCACTTTGGAGAAAGGTTAAGTACTATATTAAAATAAAGAACACATCTGTTATATGTGTCAATAATATATATGAACAGATAAGTTAGTAATTATTATCTCCTCTCTATATTCCTATTAAAGGAATTTGATTATGTTTTCTCAATTGATGTCAATGAAGGTGGACCATCATATAAATTGCCATATAACATCAGTGATGATCCCTGGTTAACTGCATACAACTTCTTGCAGAAGAATGATTTGAATCCCATGTTTTTGGATCAAGTGGCTAAATTTATTATTGATAACACAAAAGGTCAAATGTTAGGACTTGGGAATACCAGTTATTCAGATCCGTTTACAGGTAAGTTAGGTTTTTTATTAAATCTTAATGTACTTCCATCAGTGTTGTGGGTTTTTTGTTTTTGTTTCTGTTTTTGTTTTTTGCAGTTTTTTGGTGTGTTTAAATGCCCACTGTAATTAGCTGTTTAAATAAAAACCAAGATCTACAGTGGGTTTTTACTTCACATTTGTATTTATAATCCTTAAATTATTTAATAATTCTGTATTTATAAAAATGATTGTAAATTGTTCTTTCAAAAATACAGCCACACTGTAAACTAAATTAAGAAACTTTAATTCAGTCATTTGAAATGTAAAGAAACGTCTGTGTTCCTTTAAATAGTTGCTTCTTTTTAAAAATATATTTGGTGGTGAAATTTAGTAAATAAAAATTCTGTTTTCACATGAGGCTAAATTGGTTAATTGTGCATCAAATCTAGGATTGAACTGTAGATACTTTTAGTTTATATGTGATTGGTATTCCATATCTTCATTTTAAGTCAGTTGTTTGAACATACAGTGTCTAAAATGTTGTAAATGAGATTGCGTTCTCATGCCAATTCATAAATTATAATCCTTGTAGTCTGAGTCCTGGCCTCTATGAAACGGATTATATTTCTAGTAGTATTAGCCTGAGTCCTGGGTTCAAGGAACCAAAGCCATGGTACAGGAGAAAATAAAATGCTTCCTCTTTTCTTAGGTATAGAGCAAGCTCAAAATAAAATTTTGAAATTGGTACAGTATTATTAATGTTTTCCATTTGTCAGTTTTAACTCCACTTTTCATATACTAGTGTTCTTTCTTATTTTACAAAGATCCTATAGCCTCTTCCTGTCTCAAGTTCTTATATTGTTCTTTTTTTTCTTTTTCTCTGACAGATACTTATGCTCCCAAATTATCTCCTTTCTTTCTATTTTGAAGTTCCATTGCCAGTTAACATAATTAAGCTAATCTCATCTGCATGTGGACTTAAACAGAATTATCAGACTGACTCACTAATGAACTATAAATGACATAACCTTACCAATAGTTAGATGCACTCGACAAAAGGAGAGAAAAGATTTTTATTACCTGGATATTTCTGTTGGTGGAATTTCATGCTACACTGCAAAAGAGTGAACGCATGATTATACTATTTTGTGGGGCTGGCTCCATCTGAAACTTTAACTTTATAAGCATCCTTACATATATCTTTTTGTTGACACCTCTGATTATGTCCCTAGAGGTACTAACAAAACACTTACACACATCACACATTCGTGAACATATAAATGGAAATCTGTTTTTTTTTGTAGTACTCATCCTCTTTGTAATTCTCTTCTCCAGTAGGTTGTAAGCTTCAGTGGATACAAGCAATCATATTCCCTGCTGGATCCTCAGCACTGAATGCACTGTTTGACACATGAATTAATGAACCCAGGGATTCTCTAAAAGATTAACATTTGATGCCTGTGGTTTTGATAGCAACAGCAAAAGCAGGAATTCCAGTGAATTTGTATAGGAACAGGAACTGATTGTATGTATATATTATTTAGGTCAGAGACTACTTGCAGTTTCTCTTTTTATATTTGAATTCCTAGTTAATATTTAAATACAAAGGCTAAGATGTAATAAAGTTAAGAAAAGAAAACATGGAGAATCACCGAAATTTTAGTTTCTTACTAGTCTTTCCAACTTTTGACAACAATTTTCGACTATAATTTCTGTTATTCTCTCATGTGACAGCCTTGCTCTTCTGTTTTTCTCCAAGCTTAGAGTCTGCTAATGTAAGCCCTGTCCTATTTATGAAATTCAGATTTTTGGTATACTTCAGCTTTTCGTTTGTTTGCACGAACAGGTGGTGGTCGGTATGTTCCAGGCGCTTCATCAGGGTCTTCTAACACACTGCCTGCAGCAGATCCTTTTACAGGTGAGGTGCAGTTTTGATTAATGTATCTTTACTAAATATGTAAATAGCTTTTTAAATAACATTATTATAACTCATCATTTTCTCCAGCAGTCCTTCCTGCAAGGAGAGTCATTAAGAACATAGGTTTTAGAGCCAGACAGACCTTGGTTCAAAATTTGGCTTTACCACTTACTTGCTATGAGAAGTTGGCAAGTTACTTAACCTGTCTGAGCCTATTTTTTTTATCTGTGAAATTAAAAAAAATTAAAATAATAGGGGAACCCACCAACCAAGACACAGCATGAATGCTGTCACTGGCAAGATGCTACCCATCATGAGCAGAGAAGGAGCCATGTGAGTCTCTAATATTGGATGGAGCAGTGCAGTCAAGAAGTCTGCCCAGGCATATTTTGCCTTAGTGTGGAAGGAGACAGTCCACCAGCTACCCAGGATTAGTCTTTCTAATCTAAATTATTAATTGCCTTCATGAAGCCCTGAAAGTGTTGGTGTGTCTCTTCAAAGTGACTATATATACCAAGATATGCATGCCTCAGCATCAGCACTACTGGAGAAAAATGGCCAGACTTAGACTTTAATGCATCTGAAGAAGTCACTGTTTTCAGAATAGTTTTCGATATATTTTATGATGCTATTATTGAATCTTCAGCCAAAGTTTCTGGCAATATATCAAATTTGAGAAGAGATTCATAGCATTTATGATATACATTGGCCTTGCCAACATATAGTCCTGTCTAAATCATAGATTGGACCAATACACAACTTTGGGTCAGTGCCATGAAGTTGTGAATTGCTCTCAGTGACCTTCCTTTCTCCTGTGAATGAATTGGTGGACCAGATGCAAATAGCTGCACCCTGTGCATTGATAACTAATATACTACAATAACCAACTATCAAGCTTACATGTTGTGATGGCACAGTGGCCATTGAGGTCTTCAAAGACAATGCAATTCGAAAGGTAGGAAGGATCTGAAGAGTAGATAAAATGATGATTTTTTCTATCAGCATGTTCAGGCACAGTAATGCCCTGAAACTTAAAACAACAGAGTTCCTGAATCTCATTGGCAGATCTTTTTTGGAACATAAAGAATATACCAAGCTTCAAACAATATCAACAAAATCAGGAGAACTCCATCTTAACTGGAGCGTATCTCACTTTTACATAATGTCAGTAACTCAGAAGATGCAGTGATTATTGGGATATGCAAGATAGCATACTAAATGTCCAAAAGAATTATGGAATTATTAGGATAACCAAACCACACTATTATAAAAAATAGGTAACAGCACCTACCACATGGAGATATGAAAATTAAATCGGATAATACATGTAAAGTGTTTAGCAAAATGCCTAGAATATATATATAAGCCCTCAATATAAGTTAGCTGTTATTATTGTTGCTATTGTTCCCCCAATACTACCAATAGCACAGGGGCCAAAAAGTTTGCCTATCTGGCTTACAACTTCAGGTCCATCTTAATTTTTTTTTTTTCCTTCTTTATGTGGTTTTCAAACTTCTAATGTTAATTAGAATCATCTGGGATGCTTGTTTACAAAAGGTCTTATCTACAGAGATTCTGACACACTAGGTTAGTGAGGTTAAAAATACTCATCCCCTGCTCCGTCGCCCATGGATTCTGATTAAAAGGTCTTGGGTGTGGTTTGCTGTTACTACTACCTAGTTGTAAAAGCTCACCTTAGGTTTCTTAAGTGAAACACATATATACACCCACTAGGTTAGTATGGGTGGGCCCTGGGAATCTGCATGTTATACAGGTGACTATCTCTAAATGTCAGAGAACCACATTAGAAAAGTGTAGGAGTGTGCTTTGCCTCATAACGTCTTGGGCAAGTTATTCAGCCTTTCTATAATAAAGTATTACAAATAATAATGGCATCTTATTAATACTTAAATGAGTATATGCATATAAGATGCTTAGCATGCTAGTTGACATATAGTAAAAACTCAATAAATCCTCTTAGTCTGTGTTCGTCATTATTTTAATCAGATTTACGTCAGTGTTTTTTTTCTTTTCTTTTCTTTTTTAGTTTTGTTTGCTTTTTCTGTATCTGTTACACTGGTTATACTAACTCCTAGATATTAAACTCAGGAGCTAGAACAATGGCTCATCTTTCTTCCCATAAAGGCTGATCTAGGACTCTGAACTTCTCCAAATTCTGCTGATTCTCTATCTACGCTTGTTCTTCATGTTCCTTCTTTTCTGTTTTCAATGAGATAGCCACTAGTATAATCTCAAATGTGAGACTGGGCTATTGTCATAGCATTTGTAACTCTTAGTCTCTTCTGCTTGTTTTATGTGCCAGATTATATTCCAATAGAATAGTGTTCACGTTTCATTTTGGAAACTTTTTAATTTCTTCAATCCACTGATCTTTTGTAATTCGTTAAACTTCTATAATTAAGATGTATAAAACATCTAATGTTTATTTTACAACTTGAGAATTACTTTTCTGGCTAGTGTTTATTGGGCACTACTTGCAGGCACTGATCTAAGCATTTTTCTGTATTAAATTTATAGCCCATTTATTATTTGAAAGGTGCCATTCTAAAGTATGACTAATAATTAAAATATTTCTCTGTGTACAGAAAGGGCAGCTTGAACTTTATAATTTGCATTTACCTTTACTTACTAGGAGTATTATTGCATTTTAGGTGGTGGTCGTTATGTGCCAGGGTCTGCAGGTATGGGAACTACCATGGCTGGAGTTGATCCATTTACAGGTATACACTTTTCATTTCTTTTTCTTTCTTTTTTTAAAGATTTTTAAAGTTTATTGAAACTTCTGTTTAATGAAAGATTAAGAAAATTGGTGTCTTTTTCTTGCTAGAGAACTTTTTATACAGTAAATCAGGACCAAACTTCTTTTTCTTTTTTATTTATTTATATTATTTTTTAGGCGAGGCAACCCTTGGTTGACCTCACAGATTGCAAGGACTTTGTCAGTTTATAATCCTTTATTTTTTAATTTTTGATTTTTTACACCTACAGCACCTGGTCTTCCTAGGTGGTCTCTCATCCAAGTACTAACCAGGCCTCAACCCTGCTTATCTTCCGAGATCAGATGGGATCGGGCTTGTTCAGGGTAGCATGGCCTTAGACCAAGAACTCACTGCTTTACATGGCTTTTAACGTGTTCTTGAAATTGTCATTACTGCACATTAGAATCATCTGGAGAGCTTTAAAAAGTACTTCAGACTCATCCCAAGAGATACTCACTTGATCTAATACTAATATTGCTCTTGAGTGAGGCCTTGGCAAGAGTAGTTTACTAATCTTCCAGTGTGATTCTAATGTGCATCCAGGATTGAAAACTGCTGTTGTACTTCAGTTTTTATGTGGATGGTTTCCTCAGTTTCCTGACATATTTGGAGTTTATTCCAGTCTCTCCTCCTTTGTTTGTTCTTAATGTGTTGGAAATGTTATTCACTACATTACACACTGTTCTCTTTCAGTGGACTCTGAAAAGAATTTGCTTTTATGATTTAGGCCTGTAATATTTGGCTTTCTCCTGAGCAACTAATTTTTTTTTTTAATCCTTAGTATCTAGCCTAGAGTCTGACACATTTTACTTGTTCATCGTTCTTGATTATATGCAGCCATTTTTTCCTCCGTATTAGCTGCTAGTAAGATGCAAAGCTCAGTTTGTGGTTTACCTCTTTGAAGTTTAAAAGATCTCTTGGCATATATCTTCCCCTACTTACTATTTTATGCAAGAGAATATATGTGACATATGTTCTTGAGCATAATAAAATACATACCCATAAACTCACCATTCTGCTTAAGAATTAACTTGGTATGTGATTTTGCAAGCTATTTTTTCATTGGGAAAATAACATTGGCTGGCAGTATTGAATATAGTAATTAAGATTAAGGACTCTGAAGTGTGGCATGCTTAGATTCTAGTCTCAGTTCTATTTCTTTTTATCTATTTAACCTTGAGAAAATCATTCTGTTTCTGTGTCTCTGTTTTTCTCATTTGTAAAATTGAGTTAATATCCATCTCCTAGAGTTTTTAAGAACTTAAAATTACAAAATATGTGTAAGTCACTTTATATAGAATAAGTGCTTAGTAATTGTTAGCTGAGTCTATTGTATTTGCAAAAGAGTCTGAAGTTAACAGTGCTTCTTCCTATCTCCCAGAAGTCTTTTTTAACAGTCATTTAACAGGTTGGTGTATATACTGGACCTTTGTATATCTTAGTCTAAGCTATTGTCATCTCTTACCTACACTAAAGAAATAATAGCCTCCAAATTGGTCTCTCCATGGTCCATACTGCAGCGAGTCATCTTTTAGTCTAATTTGTTTATGTCCCTTCCTTGATTAAAAACCCCTTCATTACTTCCCATTGAATATATCCTCTTGCCTTGCATCATATTCCTCTCTGCCTTTTTTCTGCCTAGCCATACAGATCTGGGTCAGTTTCTTGAGCATGCCAGGCTATTTTACCCAGGAGGTTTGTACACTTTGTTCTCTTTTAGAATACTAGGACCCTTTGTTTTGTTATGTAGACTACAGATTATTTGATTTTTTTTTCTCCTTTTTCTTTTTTATTTAATCTTGCGATATAGTATTAAATAAAATCAATGAAACTTTTCTAGATACTCACATATGCCCCTTGCTAGATAACCTACTCTATCATAAGCTTTCATTGCACCCTATACTTTTCTTTCAGAGAACTTTGCATTGTACTTAATTGTTTGGTCCATATTTGATTTACTTTCTCCTTATCACAAGTAGTTTCTAACAACCAGGATTGCAAGCAGTCTCTATAGCTCATCTTTGCTCATGTCAATAAATATTTTATGCTTTATAAGCGATTAGAATTAATTTTGTCAACTTATCTCATTTACTCATAAGATTAAAATGTTTTATTCATCTTTTTGCAAACTACCTTAATTTTTATATTGGAACAAAAAATGTATAAATTAATTGAGATTTGAAATGTAAAATATAAATTAGATATAAATTATGCTTTAGTTGAAGTAGCTTTATTCACTGTATGAATTTTCATTCTGTGCCAGTTTTTTATCACAGGTACTGAGTTTGAGTTACTATAATAGTAACTTAAGAAGTTAAAATGTATAAAAGACCAAAACCCTTGCCTTTCAAGAACTTACAACTTGGGGGGATTTATAAAAATGATGGAGAAAATGATTATAGAAAATGAGAATGCTTACTACATCATTTGGAATAAGCAATAAAAGACAGAAGAAGAGATTAATATGCCTTAGAGAAGATGAAAATGAAAATTTTCATATTTGTTTTGTACTCTTAATCTTTTAAAAAATTAAAATTTAGACTGAATCTTAAAAATAGGAGAGAAATAGAAAATATGAAATAGAAAGATTTCGTTTTACATTTAAGCTCTCATTCCAAAAACTAAAATTTATTATATCAGCAAATATAAACAGTCTATAAAAGCTAACATTTTTATTTTATCTTTATCTTTATCTTTGTGTGTGTGTGTTGCTTGTTATTTTATTGCATTTACTGAGTGGTTACATATCTTAATTGTGAAAACAAAGTCATACAATTAGAAAAAATCTTTTTGACCACTCCTTATGATTTTCATTATCTTCTGTTAATAGGAAATAGTGCCTACCGATCAGCTGCATCTAAAACAGTGAATATTTATTTCCCTAAAAAGGAGGCTGTCACTTTTGACCAAGCAAACCCTACACAAATACTAGGTAAGTATATTTTCATTAAATAGTTTTCTTACATATCCACATCCTCTTTGCCATGCATTCAAGGCCATTTCTCCTCCTAACATGAGCTGGGAATTGGGTACATTCATGATAGACTTCTGTTGTGGTATTACACAACTCTAGGGACTTCAGGTGCACAATCTGAGATAACAGACCCTTAATACTTCGTAAGAAGCCTTATGTAAATTTAAGGTAAATGTTTTCTATATGGTTACTTTAATGAGAAAAAAAACTAAAGGGGAAAAATGTAAATCCCATCCCCTAAGCTTTTAATGTTTTTTTTTTTTAAAATAATGACTAATGACATTATATTAGTCATTATTGACAAATGTCATTAATTACAAAATAATGACATTTAAAAAATAAAAATCCTGCTTGAAAAATTAATAGCCCTTAGAAATAATAACAAAAGGCTGTTTAAATTTCTCATTAAAAATGAAACTTGGCAATTTTCGATTGCTTTTTCTATTGATTTGTTCTTCTCAAAATAAAATGACAGGGGTTTTTTTGTTTGTTTTTGGGGGATTTTTTTTGGAGTAAGAGTACTAAAGCTCTCTTTTGCCACAAAAACTATAAGAGAATTATTTGAGATAACATACATACCTGACTATATGACAGGGTTTTTGTTTTTTGTTTTTTGGTGGTTTTTTTGGTTAGAATTAATCCTTCATACTGTCTTTATAAAAATCATTCCTGTTTTTTTAAATGCTTTATTTGAACAATAAAAAAGTATATGCACACTTATAAACAGCTTGACATTTTTCAACTCATATAAATAATGAGCTATTTTTTAGCATTTCTTAAATATTGTTTTTCAATGACAAAGAATAGGTCCAGGTTTCCAGTTATGATTGATAGAAATTTGTGAATTTGGACAATTTATCTTCTTAAACTTTTGTGATTGGAATTTGACCTTTTTCATTCTTTGACATAAAGATTTTTGAGGAAATAATGTTCGGCGACTCAAAATAACATTAGTGATGACAAGGATGCTATATTGAAGATACATGTGAGAGTTTAAAAGAAATTGTTTCATGAAATACGAATGGTGGGAAAGGCAGTATTTCCATTAAATGTATTTACAATAATGTGATGTCAAAGATGCAATAAATTAAATATTATAGACATTTAAATTTTTGACTATTTCATTGATAATTGTAGAAGTTAATATGTTAGCTAAAAGTTATCAGTTTTCTCATATGTAATACGTAATATTGCTTGAAAACCATTCAAAATTGGTACAAATATAATACACTTTAAAACTTATTCAAAACAGAAAGTTTAAGGAGATTTGAGAAAATTACATGTAAAATAAAAATCACAGTAACCTTTTTCTATACTGTGTCTGTCTTAAAAATACTCACAGGCCTTATTCTCATTTTATGGTGATTGATTATTGCCATTAAAAGTCTTATCTCCCCATAGTGTATGGTAGAGTACTCTTATTGAAAAATTTGGCATTTATATATTTTATCTGGCTGATTACAGTTAGAGAATTTTGAAAGTTTGGTTTTGGGTTCTAGGTAAACTGAAAGAACTTAATGGAATGGCACCTGAAGAGAAGAAGTTAACTGAGGATGACTTGATACTTCTTGAAAAGATACTGTCTCTAATATGTAATAGTTCTTCAGAAAAACCCACAGCCCAGCAACTTCAGATTTTGTGGAAAGCTATTAACTGGCCTGAAGGTACACAAACACTCTTTAAAATTTAACTAGAAAACAGAAAGTTTGTCTTTTCACTTCTATCAATATTACTGCTGTTTCTAGATTAAATAAAAGTTAGCCCAAGTAGTTGTAATTCACATTGTAAAAAACTTCACAAAAAGGATTCACTATACCACTATAATTCATAGTCTTGTTTTGGTCACATACCCTAGGAGAATCTGAAGATAATATAATGACCCCAAACATGTAGCATTTTGTATTTTATTTCAGAGCCTTACTGGATCTTCTGCAAGCCATCCAGGAAACTCTTTATGACCTGTTAACCCTAGGCTACAAACATTTGCTATAAGGACTTTTTCTTTTTCTTTTTTTAGTAAATTCACTTAATTTTCAATTTTATTTATTTAATTTTTATTGAAGTAACACTGGTTTATAACATTATGTAAGTTTCAAATGTACAACATTATAATTTAATATTTGTATATACTATACCAGGGGTCTCCAACCCCCGGGCTGTGGATCGCTACCAGCCCCTGGCATGTTAGGACCCAGGCCACACAGCAGGAGGTGAGCGGTGGGCAACTGAGCAAGCGATGCTTCATCTGTATTTGCAGCCACTCCCCAGCGCTAGCATCACTGCCTCAGCTCCACCTCAGATTGTCAGGCATTAGATTCTCATAGGATCACTGGTCCCTGGTGCCAAAAAGGTTGGGGACTGCTACACTATAGCATGATCACCACCAAAAGTTTATTTATTTATTTATTTGTTTTATTTTTTTTACTTTTTATTTATTTTTTTATGCCCACAGCAACCAGTCTTCCTAGGTGGTCTCCCATCCAAATACTAACCAGTCCCAACCTTGTTTAACTTCCGAGATCAGATGCAGTCGGGCGTGGCATGGCCATAGACTATATATTTTTAAAATTTTAAATAAATTTATTTATTTAAATTAGTTTCAAATCATATTAATGCTAACTGCATTCCCTCTGCCATGCTCCCCATCCCCATGACCATCTATCAACTACTAATTTGTACTTCATTAATCCTTCACCCCATTCTTCCAACCCCAAACCCCCTCCCTCCCCTCTGGCCGTCACCACATTGACCACTATATTTGTGAGTCTGTTTTTGATTAGTTTATTCTTTTTGTTCCTTAGATTCCGCATATAAGTGAAATCATATGGTATTTCTCTTTCTCTGTCTGACTTATTTCACTCAGCATAATAACCTCTAGGTCCATCCATGTCGTTGCAAATGGTAGGATTTCATTTTTTTTAATGGCTGAATAATAGTCCATTGTATATATGAACGATAACTTCTTTATCCAATCATCTATTGATGGGCATTTAGGTTGCTCCATATCTTGGCTATTATAAATTGTGGTGCCTTGAATATTGGAGTTAACAGATCTTTACAAATTATTGTTTTGGTTTTCTTTGGCTAAATATACAGAAGTGTAATTGCTGGTTCAAAGGTATATCCATTCTTAATTTTTTGAGAAACCTCCATACTGTTTTCCATAGCGGCTGTACTAATTTGCAATCCCACCAACTATATATGAGGGTTCCCTTTTCTCCACATCCTCACCAACACTTGCTGTTTTTTGATTTTTTGTTGATAGCCATTCTGACAGGTGTGAAATGCTATCTCATTGTGGTTTTAATTTGCATTTCTCTGATGGTTAGCGACCTTGAGCATCTTTCATATGTCTGTTAGCCATCTGTATTTCCTCTTTGGAGAAATATCTGTTCAGGTCTTCTGCCCATTTTTTAAGTGGATTGTTTTTTTGCTGTTGAGTTGTATAAGTTCTTTATAAATTTTGGATATTAACCCCTTATCAGATGTGTCCTTAGCGAATATCTTCTCTCAGTTGGTTGTCTTTTTGTTTTGCTGATAGTTTCCTTTGCTGTACAATTATTTTTATTTTTTATTTTTGTTTTTACCGCCGAAAGTTTAGTTTTTACTTTTTACATTTAATTTTTAATTCTAAAAGTGTCCTCTCTCATTATTTTTTCATTGGAGAAAAAAAAATCATTTGTCCTACAAAATGTGCCATACTGTGGATTTGGCTGATCACTTAATGTGCTTCTCTATCTCTGTAGTTCCTGCTAGACATAATTAGATTCTGGTTCAATTTTTTTTTTTAAGATAAATATCCTTTATAAATAATGCTGCATACTACCTTTATATCATAGGGCACATAATTTCTGATTTCCTTACTCTTAGTGATGCTGAGATTGTTTAGTGCATTCATTCAGATGATATCTACCCAATCCCTTGAATATAAAGCTCTCCACCAACCTATAAGCATCCTATTATCATTTGTCAACTGGAATATCTTTTATAGGACTCTTCTATCTTTTATAGGACTTTTAAAAGCAAGGTCCCTATCCCATTCATTCCATAAGGACTTACTGAATATTGTATGTCAGGCTGTTTGATAACACAAGAGAGTTACGTTATTTTTAAAGCATATATGATCTTGTAGCAATAAGTCTAGTCTCTAAAATATGAAAAAATCAATTAATACAAATTTTAGAAATATACACAGGCACATGATTTTTAACATTTTCTTAAATGATTATGGATTGATTTTGTAACCGGGAATAAAATCCTTAAAAATTGAGCAACAATCATAGGAATTTTCTGGATTTTCATAAACATTAATGAATTTTTTTTTAATAGATATTGTCTTTCCTGCGCTTGACATTCTTCGTTTGTCAATTAAACATCCCAGTGTGAATGAGAACTTCTGCAATGAAAAGGAAGGGACGCAGTTCAGCAGTCATCTTATAAGTCTTCTGAACCCTAAAGGAAAACCAGCAAACCAGCTGCTTGCTCTGAGGACTTTTTGCAATTGTTTTGTTGGCCAGGCAGGACAAAAGCTCATGATGTCCCAGAGGGAATCACTAATGTCCCATGCAATAGAACTGAAATCTGGGAGCAATAAGAACATTCACATTGCTCTGGCTACACTGACCCTGAACTATTCTGTTTGTTTTCATAAAGACCATAACATTGAAGGGAAAGCTCAATGCTTGTCAGTAATTAGCACAGTCTTCGAAGTTGTACAAGACCTAGAAGCCACTTTTAGACTTCTTGTGGCTCTTGGAACACTGATCAGTGATGATTCAAACGCTGTGCAATTAGCCAAGTCTTTAGGTGTTGATTCTCAAATAAAAAAGTATGCTTCAGTATCAGAACCAGCTAAAGTAAGTGAATGCTGTAGACTTATCCTAAATTTGCTGTAACAATGGGGAGGGGACTGAGATTTTAAATTGATTAGTGTTTTTTTTTTTTCACATTTCACATGACTGATTACAGATGATAAAGAATGCTGTAGATTAAGTCAAAATTCAGATCTTGTAAAGTGCGGGGAAGGGGAAACAAAGGAAAAATAAAATTTTTGCACTGGTGTACTGTGAGATTTTCCTGTATAATGTGGGTAGGTTTTCAAGAGTTTAGAAAATTAAGAATGAGCTGTAATCAACAAAAGAACAATTACAGTGGCATAATTTCTGTACCTTAGCCACACAGGAGAAGACAAGAGCTTTTATTTATATAATCTGCTTTTGCTACTTACACACCCCAAACTGTTAATTGTTGGTGGTTTTCTTTTTTTGAATTTCTGCTCTACTCATTTCATTGCTGGATTTTTTTTAACAGCACTGATACATTTCAAGGTCTTGTTTTGGGATAACTATTTTAGAATTTTTAAAAATTAAGTTTGTTGTAAATTATTGCATATATTGAAAAGATATAAAATAATTTATTCATTTAAACTGTTTGTAAATAGAAAGTGAATTTGTTTGATGGTTCATTTTTAGATGAAGTAAAACCAAATTACTAAACTATGTTAGGTTGTATATCAATTCAGACAGATGAAGCCCCAAATTGACTCACACCTTATGATCTAGTTTCTTTTGCCCTTCACTATATGAGATAACTTCATTATTCATTCCAATTTTGATATTTGTTTATTTTTGGTCATTTCCATTACCTCAAAGGGAATTTGGAATGTACTGAATGTTATCAGGCAATTGTGCAAGCAAGAATACATCAAACTATGTTCAAGTCTAGAGCCTGTCATCTGAAATTAGTATTTTTGAGCCCCTAACATGGTCCAGGTGCTATGATAACCACTTTCATATTTAATTCCTAAAACCCCTTAAATGAATTGTGATGCTATCTCTGTTTTCAGAAGTAAAGATAGTGGAATGAATCATGATAGGAGAAAAAAAGGTGCATACCATGCTATATTTCCTAGAGAGGGGCTCACAAATTTGTCTTTGAACATCCTAGCAACTAACGCAAAGAAGGAACCCGCCCAATAATTACATAATTTATTGTGTCTAAGATAAATTAAGAGAAGTGTAACTATTCTTATTTTAAAAAGTTAGATCATTTCACAAAGAGGACTTTGCCTAAAATAGCAGGATTCTCAATATTTATTTAAAACCATGCATTTCCTGACTTACTGCCAAATTGTAGTCAAAGAAGAATAATTCTCCCCCCATAGGGGAGGAAAGGATTCTGATTGTCTAGATTAATCAAAGGAAAAACTTGGAATGCCAAAAAAAAAAAAAATGGGTAAAATATAAAAGGGGATGTATATTTTTACTAAGTAATAAATTGCAACTTTTCTGGTGTTTACCCAGACTTTAACTGTTCTATTTGCTGGTTCCATTAGGACCCTGTGCTTTACTTTTTTGTTGAATTGAAATTTAGGGGGTTAAGTCAAAGTTAAAGAGCAAAGTTAAGAGTTTAACCCAGGTCAGCCTGGTTCCATTACATTACACTGCTTTCTTGTTAACATGTCCAGTCTAGCATGTTACAAACACTTTATCCACAACATTTTGAAATGTTAGTTACCTCTGGACATAAATTCTTGGTTAAGAATGTGAGTTTACTCTTCAAAATGTGAGGGGTGGCAAATTGTAAACACTGTTTGCTTCCTATTAGTATATAAGTCTTTTTATAACAACTTTTTATTATACCAGTATTTCATGTTTATTGAAAAGTTACAAAATACAGTTTAGCAAAATGAAAAATAAATCCTACTAGAAAGATAATTGTTAAATGGTGATTCAGTGATATTTTAAAGATTTTTCTTTTTCAGTTAAACTTTTTCCCATGATTTCCTTAACTTTTTTTTTCTGACTATAAATACGTATTTGCTGAATACAATACACACGTAAATAAATATTTTCTGTAATCCAATCACCCAAAGAGAACCATTCTTAATGTCTTACGTTTTTATTTTTTTAAAGGAATGATATACATTATTCAATAACCTGATTTTTAAACTTGACATATATAGTATGCATACGTCCATCTTAATAAATATATTGAATGAATATACCCATTTCCTATTATCTGACATTGTTTCCAATTTTCAGCTATCAAGCAGTGCTCTTGACAAGTCTCACAAGTGTTTTAGGAGTTCTTTAGGGTATATTTTACACATGGAATTGGTGGGTCAAGTTAATGCACATATATTAGACTTAATATATGTTGCCCAATTACTCAGTGGTAAAAATCTTGGGAGTTAATGTCCTTCATGTTGTATCCTAAACATAGTTGCCTACAAGTGACATAACTTATTGTCTCTTTCATAACTGCATTATCTTCCCTATTTTTTAAATGATGTTTCTATTGTGACTTTTTTTCATGAGTAGCTGAGTTTATAAGTAGCAATGCAATGAAATTTTATCTACTTAAAAATCTTAAATGATGGGAGAAACATAGAAAAATAATAGATTCTTCGCAAAGATTCTAAGAATAAGATGGATACAGCTTCCTTAGCAGTTATCACTGTATCTTACGGTTATTTTAGAGGGAAATGATATAAGGTATGGAGGATCATTTGTGATGTAGCATCCTTTCTACAGGTCTTGAGATATGTTACCCAGTTGAGATTAGGGAATGTTATTCAATATTTTAAAATTTTTTCTAATTCTAATTTCTAATGTATTTTTGTTCAGAAAATTATATACAGTGTCTTTCTTGGCTGCTACAACAAAAATATCATAGACTGGGTTGCTTAAACAAAAACATTTATTATAGTACTAGAGGCTGGGAAGTCCAAGATAAAGATGTTGGCATATTTGGTATTTGGTGAGGGCCCACTTCTTGGTTTCTCAGATGCTGTCTTCTCCCTGTGTCCTTATATGGCAGAAGGGAGGAAGGAGTTCTCTGGGGTCTTCCCATTCATGAGGGCTCTACCCTTGTGACCTAATCACCTCCCAGAGGCCCCACCTCCAAATATCACATTAGGAATTAGGTTTCAACATAGGAATTTTGAAGGGGACACAAACATTCAGTCTATAGCACACCATATAGTTGTGATTATAAATGCAATTTTGAAGATTTTCATTTAACATTTTTCATGTTTCCCTTCAATTTATTAATGAAAATGTTCATACACAAAAGTTGAAAGAAGTATAGTGAACACTCATGGACTTGCCAACTAAGTTCTACAATTAACATTATGCCATATGTAATTTTTTTGAAATTATTTAAAAAATAAGTTACAGATATCACACTTATCAACTAAATACTTCAATATGTATTTTCTAAGAATGATATTTTCAAAAATATTCATTTAGAACCATATTGCATTGAAGAGAATTTCATATCTAATATCCACCCATATTCAAATTTCCTCATTGCCCTCAGAATGCCTTTTATAACTTTTAAAGAACCTAAATAATCAAGGTTTATGTATTGTATTTAGTTATTTGGTTATATGTCACTTTGGTCTCAATCTAGAACAATATCTCCATCTGTCTGTCTAACCTAATTGAAATGTCTAGGCCAGGCCAGAATATGAAGTACCCCCATTTTATATTTCTAAAATGTATTATTATAACCCTATATATTAGTTATCTATTGCTGCTTAATAAATTAACCCCAAAGTTAAATGGCTTAAAACAACACACATTTGTTATCTCCAGTTTTCTGTGAGGAATCTTGACAGCTTAACTGGGTCCTCTGCTTCTTTGTTTTACAAGAGGCTGCTATCAGGGTGTCAGCCAAGGCTGAGACCTCATCGGAAGGCATGACTGGGAAGGATGCATTCTCACGCTCACTTACATGGTTAGTGTTCAATTCTTTTCAGGTTGTTGGATGAGGACTTCAGAGGCTTCCCTTGGTTCCTTGCCTTGTGGGCTTCTCCATCACAGTAAGCTACTCCATCAGAGCCAGCAAGGAAGAGAGTCTGCTAGCTGGACCAAAGTCAGAATATTTATAATCACAGACATGACACCCTCTAAACACCAACATTCTATTGGTTGGAAGCAAGTTATTCAAGGAGAGTAGATTACACAAAGCTCTGATCTGAATGCCAGGGAGAGGGATCATTAGGGGCCTTAAAGTCTGCTTGCCACATATTCTATTTCCTATAGAAGCTAAATCCACAGGCTTGGTTAGATTGAGATTAAACTGCTGTGGCAAGAATACATCATAGGTGATGTGTAATTGTATTTTTTAAATTTGGTTGCATCATATCTGAGTTTCCTTAATGATATTTTCCTTCCCTTAACTACAGGAGGGTAGGAGAACAAAAATAGGATGTAATTGGCCTCTACTTACCACCTTAATAGAGATAGGGGAATATTTTTAAAAAATTTTTCATTTCTCATTTTATTTTCTATCCAATTCCCAACGTGATTACCATGTTTTATTTCATGTTTAAAATCAAGGTGCTTGTTTTCTGGGGGTACTAAGAAAGGCAGGATCTTGACTTTGAGGGCAACAAGTAAACCACTTTGGTGCTTCTCATGGAGGAAAATAGTCTTTAGGTTACAGTGAATAATGGAAATTTTAAAGAGCCGAAAGCTGACTAATGCCCTTCTATAGAGTTGGTAGGCTGATATTGGTTCTAAGCCTAAAATGGGGTCCTGGGACTTAAAACTTGACCTTGGGTGTTCCTGGACACATTGTAATAAATCAGGAAAGTAAAATGTCCAAACAGCAATGATATTTTCATCAAATGTAAAAGCATATGGCATAGCAATGTTTGTACGATGTTTTGCAATTGGATTTAAAACAAACCAGTTAAGTAGCATTGTAAAGAACAGACAGATTTAAGTTAACTATAGCATGCATTAAGCAATTACTTTATACTCATTATAAGTTTACATCATTATCCCTATGGGATAATCTTTTACAGGTGAAGAAACTGAAATTAGTCAGGTAAATCTTTATATAACAAGTCTATCAACAAAACAATGGAGAAGAGAATAATATTTGATAAATGGAGTTGCCAAAACTGGATACTGATATAGAGAAAAATATCTTTTTGTCATAGCCACTTTACTTCAACCTTGATACTGGTAGAGGCATGTAAGCTTAATACAGCTTGAAAAATCCTTCAAAACATTTCTTTCATTCTTATGTCCTCAAAGGAACTAATAAATTCAAGAAATATTTGCTTATTTCTACATCATTTAAAATTTTCAATAATAAAAGCAACCAGAGGTGCTGTGTAATATAGTGAAAGAGTACTGGCTTTGGAGTGAAAAGATAAACATTTCAATGACATTTCCCACCCACTTGCTAATGAATTAAGGCAAGCTGCTCAACCTCAGCCCCAATTTAATCGTATGTACCTTGGGACATCAAAAAATAGAATAAAATATTTATATAAAAGCCTAGCAAAATGTCTGTCACATAAGTGCTTATCAAGTGTTCTTGTCAAAGATAATACAAGGCTACCATCTTCTTTAACAATAAAAGTGACTGCTGTAGAGAATGACTTCAGAAGCATGGTGGAGTGAGAGTTGTCCCCAGATCTCTCTCCTTGAAACAACAATAAGCTGAACATCTAAAACTCAACAAACAAACTGCACACCAGCACGTCTGAGAGTAGGATCTGTGCATAAGAGCTACCTCAGGGATCCAAGAGGCTTAGACGACACCTACTGGAAACCAAAAGAAAAACACCTTCTTTGCAACTAGCTAAAGAGAGACCTTTATATAATAAATCTTCTTTCTGGAAAAACAAAAACAACAACAAAAAAACAATACACTTCCATTAATGCCCAGGCAGAGAAATAGTCCATTAAACACCATGAACAACCAAGGTGACAAGGCAGCTCAGAAAAAGATAAAAGTCTCCAGTAAATAAGCTTAAAGACATAGAAATATGCAACTTAAATGACAGATAATTCAGGATGGTACTTCTGAAAAATAATGAGGTCCAAAACAACTCATATCAACAATTTCAAGAATTGAAAAAACAACTAGATGAGCAGAATGATTTCTTTAGCAAGGAGAATGAAATCCTCAAAAAGAATCAAATAGAACTCTGGAGATGAAGAATACACTAAAAGAGGTGAAAAATGAAATGGAAGGTTGGGAAATATAGTTGACCAAATGGAGGAAAGGATCAGTGATATTGAAGCCAGAAATCTAGAAATAAATCAGAAGGAAGAAGAGAGAAACTGAAGAATGAAAAATAATGAAAGAGAAATACAAAAACTAGTTGATACCATCAGAAGAGGAAACATAAGAATAAAGGGTATTCTCCAAGGGGAGGAAAAAGAGCAAGGATTAGAAAGCATTTTCAGACAAATAGTTGATGAAAATTTCCCAAATCTAAGGAATGGGCTGGAACTTTGAATTCAAGAAGTCAACAGAACACTCAATTATCTCAACCCAAAAAGGCCTTCACCAAGACACATTGTATTAAAATTATCAAAAATCAACAAAGAGAGTTCTCAGGGCAGCCAGGGAGAAGAAGACAGTAATTTATAAAGGAAAACCCATTAGATTATCATCGGACTTCTCAGCGCAAACCTTACAATCCAGAAAGGAAGGGAATCAAATGTTTAAACTATTAAGTGAAAAGAACTACCAGCCCAGAATAATGTATCCAGCTAAGCTCTCCTTTAGATATGAAGGAGAAATAAAGACCCTCCCAGACATACAAAAATTCAAGGATTTCTCCACTATGAAGCCTGTATTACAGGAAATACTGAAAGGGGTCAGCTCACCTAAAACAAAATGACAAAAAACAAAACAAAACAAAACAAAACATAATTAGGAGTAAGGTGACTAGCACATTGAATCAAACAGAGGAATGCACCAGACGATTTGATAATGAGGAACTAAGATTCCAGTCCACGAGAAAGTGTTCAACATTCTGAATTAAAAATGCAAGTTAAAAGTCTAATATCATACATTAGAAAAAATGTTTTGAAAAGTTTTCAGCGTATGGGTGACTTTTTAAGTTGGCTCAGTCTTCCGAGCAATCAATTAAACTGAATAAGAAAAATAAAACATTGATGTCCTTTGATCAATTTTTTTGGGGGGTACGTAAGGGAAATAATGTAAATTTTTTTCTTAAGCTGTTTATAGTTGCATTACTCTGAATAGTGACAGAATTGGTAAACAAACTAAACACCAACATTTGGATATTGCTTAGAGAAAGAATATAATGAAGTACTAGAGCCACGTGCCTTTAGAAGTGAAAAATGAATCATGCCTAGAAATGAGTGTTAATGGGGAGAAACAAGAAAGCATAAGACCCTATTCCTGTACAATTACCTAAAATACATTTCTAAATAGTTTGCCCAGATGACGAGATTTCCCCTAACTTCTCTTTATTGTTATAACGCTGTGTCATAAATAAAAATCGGAAGAAAATGAAATTGGAGAATCAAAAACTGCACTTTTACCTGTGCATTTTTATATTGACAAAGATTGGAAATACGCATCAATAAGGCAAAGAGCCGTTGAAAAGCACCATCTTCGGCCTTTGTAGAGATATAAAAACGGACAACCAGCCGACTAGACAACCAGCCAGCCTTCAGCAAACTCAAATGAACCTCCGCTGCCTGTGGAGGCGGTGCTACTGGTCTCGGCACCACCCCCAGAAACGCCTCGCGGCGTCTACGACGAGGCCGGAAGTGATGCAAAACTGCGACGCCAGCGCCCGCCGCGGCCGCTGGAGAAGGGTTTAGGTCACTTCAGAGACGGTGGGCTTTCTCCGGATGGTTACAGCAGAAGGATCATGACGGGGAAGAAGTCTTCCCGGGAGAAGCGGCGCAAACGAAGCGGTCAGGAGGCGGCCGCGGCGCTCGCGGCGCCGGACCTGGTACCCGGCCTGGCCGGCAGCGGCAGTGGGAGCACCAGCGGCTGCGGCAGCACCAGCGGCTGTGGGAGTGTAACCTGCTGTGAGAACACCAGCTTCAGTGGAAGCGTCACCGGCGTTGGGAGCGGCGTGGAGCGCAGCGAGCGCCGGAAGCGGAGGAACACTGACTCATCTTCCAGCGTCTGTGGCTCCTTGCAACAGGTGCGTGCGCGCCCTTCTCGCAGCTCTGGGGGCTGCTGCATTTTCGGAAAAAGGCGGGCGACGAGCAGGATGGGGTGCTGGCTGTAGCTCACGGTTAGCGCTGCGATCCCAGGATTCCACCCGTGCGTGAGGTTCATGTTCCTAAGTCCCGGTGGACGCCACACTCCCATGTCTGGAACTTCAAGTTCCTAGATTTGCTAATGGTTAACTCATTTTGTTTTTAGCCCCTTCCGCTCTTGTGGTCTCCTAAATCTCTCTGAAAAGTATGGTTAAGAAGCTAGCCTTTAATGCTCTTGCAAACCACTTTTTACTTTTCATTTTAATCTTTTAGTAGGTTATGATTAACTCCATATTATAAGATGAGAAAACTGAGACAAAGAGGTTAAGTTTGCCCACAGTTTGTTACTAACACCTAGATTTGTATCCAATATCTGACTGCATAAAAGACATGTCCTTTGTATTCCATCGACCTGTAAAGATATCGCCGTTTAAAAATATCTTTTGCTTCTAGTATGTTATAAAGACACCGAAATAAAGGGAAAAGCATGGAAGTCTTTCTTTAAGTCTCCCTCAGGCTTTTATACATTCTTGTCAGATACGTGTACTTAAGTTTCTCCATATAAGCTTTATTGTGATACTGCTCCCATTGAATCGGACAACACCGTTGCATTGTTGGGATGGGTGGGGGGATCTTTACATATGCAGTACTTTATTTTTTTAGTGACTGCACAATGTTCCATTTTAACTTTATGGATGAATATTTAGATTTCCAGTTTTCTTACTGTTACAGAGATGATATGAAAATGCATACCCTCGTACATATGTCTTGTACAAAAATTACTTTAGGTTGGAGTCTCAGAAGTTCAATTGCTGGATCAAAGTTAATACATTTAAAAAAATTTGGTAGGTACCAACAAATGCTCTCCAAAAAAGGCTTTACTAATTGATAATCCAAACAGTATAAAAGAATAACTGCAAATTTTTGCCGTATCCAGTTTTTAAAATTTAGCCTAATAAAAGGCTAACTTTTAAAAGTTAGCCTAATAAATGAAATTAATGTTGCCTATGTTTTTAATTTTCCAAATTAATCGTGATATTGAACATTTCAATATATTTGTCGTTTGATTCCTTATGTAAATGGGTTAGACTTATCTTGTGCTATTTTTCTATTTGGTAGTTTTCAACATTTTACTGATAAGTTATGAATCTGTACATAAAGTCCTGGTTCTCATGTTTCATGTAAGGTGTATTGCAAATGTTTCTCTAACTTTGGCCACGGTATTCTGAAGCTTTTGATTTCGTGTGGTCAAGACTAATTTTTTCCTATGCCTGTTAGATTGTGTGTTTAGAAATGTCTTTCCTAATCCAAGATTATAAAATTATTCTGTATTTTCTTATAATATTTTTAACATTACATCTTTAAATTGGGAGTTGTGGAAGCATAGAAGGCCATTTATTTATATGTCTTTTCTTGTATCTTGCCATGTTATTAATTATTAATTTAAAATTGACTCCTCAAAATTTCTGCTGTGAGAATATGTCTCCCCTTTTTCAGCACTATATTTCTCATTTTCTTTTCTTTTGGTATTATCTAATATTTTTTGGTATAGTGTTCCAACAAAAGCAGTGACAGTAGGCATTCTTTTCCCAATCCTTTTTCTAGTGGGAACATTTCTAATATTTGCCATAGGTTCTGAAAGATAATTTTGATCAAGTTAAGGAAATTTCCTTCAATTCCTAGTTTCGTGAAGGTTGTACAGTTTTATCAGGTGTGTTTCTGGCATTCTGTTGAGATGATCATATAGTTTTCCTCCTATAATCAGATAATATAATTTTATTGATAAATTAATTGACATTGAACTGTCCTTGCAGTCTTGAGATAGATTCTATTGGGTTTGTTGGTTTGGTTGTTGTACTTGATGGAATTCAGCATTTATGCTTTTGTCTTTATGTTCCTAAGTTAAATTTGACTATGGTTTTTATTTTTGTAGTTATCTTCTCTGGTTTAGGTATTAAGATTCTGCTAGCCTCATGGATTGAGTTGAGGACCTTTGGTTTTCTTTTTGTTTTTTGTTTTTTGGGTTTTTTTTTTGGTGTCGTCCAGAAATGTTTATATCTTTTTTTTCCCCAAGATTTGTCAGAACTTGACCATTGGACCATACAGCATACAGATAGCTCTCTGGGTCTGGTAGGTTTTTTTTTTGGAGGGGGGGTAGGTTTTTTTCCCCCCATAACTTTTTTCAAATTCTTTGATAGTTATAAATCTATTCAGTTTTCCTACCCCTTCTAGAGTCAATTTTTAATATCACCATTCTTATCATAAATAGGTTCTATAGTAGTATTCTTTATCATGTTAAGACCAGGAATACTACAATGTAAATATTTGCATATGTAACTAAACTCTTTCTAATGAGAAGTAAGTGTATTTGTGAAGGAAAACAAGAAATTACATATTAGGCATATGGATAACATTCTAGTATTCCGAGAATGCCATTATATTTGTTCTGTATTGAGTTCCCTATTTATTATTTATTTATTTGTAACAGCTTTATAGAGATATAATTCGTATAACCATGCAATTTACCCATTTCAGGTATACAGTTCAGTTGTCTTGAGTATATTTAAGTATAGTCACAGTGTTGTGCAACCATCACTACAGTCAATTTTAAAATATTTTCATCCCCCTCGCCCCCCTAAAAAATAAGAAGCTCTATACTCTACCTTGTTCCCTCCCTAGGCAACTGCTAATCTACTTCCTATCTCTATAAATTTATTGATTTCCCTGTTCTGGACATTTTATATGAATAAAATCATATAGTATGTAGTCTTTTGTGTCTGTTTCCTTTCACTTAGCATGTTTTTTCAAAGTTCACCCATGTTGTAACACATATCAGTACTTCATTCTTTTTTATGGCTGAATAATACCACATCTGGATTTTCCATTTGTCACTTGATGGACATTTGAATTGGACATTCTACCTTTTGGCTATTATGAATAATGCTTTTTTATGAATTTTTTTTACCAGTTTTTGTGCAGACTTACAGTTACTTTTCTTTTGGTTATATATCTGGGAATGAAATTGCTTGGTCATACAATAACTTTTTGAGGAACTGATATGAACTGTTTTCTAAAGAGGCTGCACCATTTTATATTCATCCTGCTGGCAGTGTATGAGAGTTCCACGTGCTCTACATTTTCACTAACATTTGAATTACTTTGTAAGCCATTAGAACAAGAGTTGACCTTCTTTACTTTTTCAGTTTAATTATCATAGTATCCTTTAAAATTGGCTGTTTAAACTGCTTTTAAAACAAATCCATTAGAAAATATAACAAAGAAATCTCTCAGAGCAATATAGTTAGGAAAGATTTTCCTGAGGAAATGACTTTTGAATTGGATCTGAATTTGTTAATCTTGATGGTATATTGTGTATGATAGGGGAAATGGGAGAGGAAAGAATATCCTAGGCAGAAGAACTGTAAGTACAAAAGCCCTGCCTGTATGAGGCGAAGGGAGAACAGGTTACATTTCAGTATTTCAAAGAAGGTCATTGTGTTTGAAACACAAAGAATGAGCAGAAGGCCCAATAGGCCATATTATGCTAAAAGCAGTGAGAAGTCAATGAAAGGTTATAAATAAGGAGGATGACTATTATGTACATTTTATAATCCATTCTGGTAACTGTATACAAAACAGATTGGAGAGACCTCAGATTAGATGCAGCAAGTCCAGTTAAGTGGTTGTTGAGGTAGTCTAGGCAAAAGATTATGGTACCTTGGACCAGCATTATGATAGTCGATTTGGAGAGACTGGATAGATTCAGGTGATAGGTGGTAAAATTGACCTAAATGTCTTAAATTACTTGGCTACTTTGAATACGATTAAATTACGTAACAGTTTTAAAAGTGATAATAGCTTCTGGTAAACAGTAATACTTTATAATATTTGTGATTTATAATATTTTTGCAGCTATCCCATTTCCGTATACGAATTTAAGAATAATGACAGTACATACTTAAGGCTTTTGGATGAATGGCCAAGGAATATTCTAATTTGTCAGAAGACTTAAATTGTAGGAAATCGTTTCATACTGAGTATATTTTCATTTGTGTGTCGTAAGGTATTCTCTCTCTACTTTATATCAACTTACTGAGTTAATTGTAGTGTGGAGAGTAAGTTCAAAGAATACTGAACAATTAAATATTCTTTCCTATGGTTTTATGTAACCAATCTATGCAAACCTAGAATTTAGAAATATTTAATGAAGAATTTATTAAATAAGCATATGGAACAGTATATACATATTCCATACAATTTTAGGAGTATTATTTAATGGTTCTTTACCTCTTTTAATTTTAGGAAACCAAGCATCTTTTACCAACTTTGGAAAAAGAATTATTCTTGGCAGAGCACAGTGACCTTGAAGAAGGTGGACTAGACCTGACTGTGTCATTAAAACCAGTTAGTTTCTATATATCAGACAAAAAAGAAATGCTTCAGCAGTGTTTCTGTATCATTGGAGAGAAGAAGTTACAGAAGATGCTTCCTGATGTGTTAAAGGTACTTCATTACATACATTATCAGACTAAACACATTTATAGAAATATACAAAACCCTTTTTATTTGTAGCAATCAGTTTACTTAATGAAAATTATAACTAGATGTTTTCAACAAAACGAGCTACTTAAAAATATATAAAAAAGGGATTTCGGATAACCATAAATGATTTTGTATGTGTAAAAATTTGTCAAGAAAAAAATGGTGCAATTTACTATGTTTAGTTAAGGATTTATTGACCTTCTGGAAATAATTCTATTAAATGCAGGCAGTATTAGTAATTAGAGGTATAAAGATACTTTCTGGTGCTTTAAGAAATAGTATACTACTATATAACAATATACAATGATATTGGGTAGTAGCTTATATTTCATTAAATTTACAAATGTTTTCATATATTTATTTCTGAAAATTATTCAGGGAAATAACATGATATTCTAATTTTAGAGTTGTAGAAATAGACCTTAAACAAGTTAAACCCAAAATCATATATCTAAGATATAGAGAGACAAGACTTGAATATTTATAGACTGTTCTTAAGAATATCTGAGCTCCTGATGTACTCTTTAGTTTGTTCTTTCATAATAAACATGATTATAAATTCTCATCAAATCTTATAAATTATAATGTTCACATATTAACAGGTAGTTTTTGAGATTTCATCCCAGAAAAGATTTATGTGGCTTTTAATTTGTTTTATTGTAAGATTTTGCTAACTGGACTTTTTTTTTACAATTGCTGTTTTCTATTTTACATTGACATTATATTACATAAATGCATTTTTGTAAATGTCATTTTCTTTAGAACTGTTCAATAGAAGAAATTAAAAAACTGTGCCAAGAACAGTTAGAGCTCCTGTCTGAGAAAAAAATCTTAAAGATTCTTGAGGGTAAGAATACATATTTCTATATTCCGGTAACTTTTTTGTTAATACTATATTCAGATTAAATCCTCAGGTGTTCTTTTTCTTACTTGAATATTACTTTAATTTCATTGCTGATTAATTGTTGAAAAGTATATCTACAGGAATGTGTAGTTTACATATCAGTAGCATTTCAAGAATAGCCTTTTTGATGTGTATATTATTTTTCCATCTCAAAAGTATAGATAGGAGCATAAGTTTGTACAGAATAATAAAATGTAATAAAAACTGTTTACCCAAAATGCTGTAAAATTAATTTTTGAGAAGGCAAAGACTTCTCTTAAAATAATTTTTATTTTCTGTTTTATATTCTCATTGCTTCTAGTTACCTGTAAACTATAAAGTTCTTTAATCCATATCACTTTTAAAGATGATACTTTTTGTGTAATGATTAAAATTAAATCATTCTGACATTTTACATGCATGCTTTCAATAGTTTATTTCATTTATAAGGTGACAATGGTATGGACTCTGATATGGAAGAGGAAGCAGACGATGGCTCTAAGATGGGATCTGAATTAGTCAGTCAGTAAGTTAAAAAACTTTCATTTTTATTTCAGAATTTTTTTGTTATTCCTTTGGGATTTGTTTCCTCAAGAATGCAATGATTTTTCTGTGTTGTATTAATATAGAATAATTCAACAATGTAGAAAGATTTGATTCATTTACTGTAATGATTGATCCTTTTGGTATAAATAAAGATAAATTTAATTGCTTTCAGGCTTAAGGTGATTTTCATGAACTACTACCCAGATATAGGACAACAGCAGTGTCAATGTGAAGCAGAATCACATCTTTCATTTGGAATTTGAATATACTACTAGTGATTCTCATTATTTATTAAGTACTTAATCTCATAGGCATTATGTTAGTAGCTTAGAACACTTTATTTCACTGAATTCTTTTACATACCTATTAATGTTAAATGATAATAGTCTCATTTCACAGATGCAAAATTAAATGGTTTATTTTATATTGGGATAATATACAATGCCTAAAGTTTTGGGATGCTGACTCATCACAAAGCAACATGCTAATTATTTTTTCTAGATTATTCTCCTCTGCCGTGGCTCATCAAAAATAAAGACAGTTTTATTTTTCCCTTTTTTTAAAAAGAAAACCATAGCCCCTAAATGGCCAGCCTCACTTTTGCTAAAGCCCTTGATACTAAACCTAGATTAATACCAGACCTAATTACAGTTTTGATCTTCACCAGAAATGTAATCTTCCTCAACCAGTCTGGAATTAATTTTCTGGTCAAGCACTAGTAAGGTAATCTGTCATGGGTCCCTGTCAACCCTCCCACCTCTCCGCCTGACCCAAAGAAGTAGAGGCATACTGCATGATAAAACCCTTGCCATTTCCTTCCCCCCAAAAAACTTGGTGTCCTGGTCTAAAAAATTTTTTTTTTTCTTTTTCTAATAGCTCCCTTGCCCCAGCTTTCTCTAAAACTTCCATTTTGTACAACCCCTCCGAACCTCCTTCTATTTGCTAGGTGGGATTCTGTATGAATCGCTTAATAAATCCAGTAAGATCTTCAAATTGATTTGGTTGAATTTTATTTTTTGACATTTTCTAATCTATGTACCTCCCCTCCCCTCTCCTCCCCTCCCCTCCCCTCCCCTCCTCTTTCTTTTACCTTATTGACCTGTTAGGAATTCCAGGGCATTGTTGAATAGAAGTGGTAAGAGTAGATTTCTTGCTTGTTCTTATTTTACAAAGAAAGCCTTTCACAAGTATGCTGTTACCTGTATGTTTTGTTTTTTAAAGCTTATTTTATTCTTTTTTTCCCCCTAACTTCTTGAATTGGATCATTAGTTCATTTTTTTAAATTACTTTTGGATTAGAAATATATATTCAATGCTAAAATTTTCCTCTGAGTACCACTTTAGCTATCCCATAAAACTAGTTAGTGTTTCAATTATTGTTAGTTTTTAAATAGTTTATAATTCCTCTTTAACCAAAAAGCTGTTGAGTTTTAAACTTTGCAGATCATGAGGTTACCCAGGCTCTTTTTGTTCATTTTAGTTTACTGCTTCAAAACCAGGATAATTCCTGCACTTTTCCATTGAAGATCTAATTGATATTTTATGAGCAAACTTATTATCAATTTCTGTGATATTCCACAGGAGTTATGATCTCTGTTTTCAGAGTATAGTCTGTGTTAATTCATTTAGGTCCTCGATATCCTTTAGATCTATCGTGAGATAGATGAGAGAGATGAAAATTTTTCATCCAATTGATTTATCATGAGATGGATGAGAGAGATGAAATCAAGTTTCTACCACTCATGCCCATTCAGGAGAACTCCAGCCTCATATTCTTTTCATTTTTCAAAAGGCCCACCTACTAATAACATCACCTTTGAGGGTTAGAATTTCAATGAACTTTGATGGGGAATACAAACATTTAGACCATGGCACATAATCATTTATGTAAGAGACCTCAAGAATCTACAGAAAAACCCTCCTAGAATACATATATGGTAGACAGAATGATCACCTCCCCGCAGAGACATCCATGTCCTAATTTCCAGGACCTAAGAATATGTTAATTTACATGGCAAAGAGATTTTGCACAAGTGACTAAATTAAAGATCTTGAGATCGAAAAAAAAAGGATTATCCAAATGGTACCAATATAATCACAAGAATCTGTCTGAGAGAGAGGTAAGAAGGACAATGGCAGAAAGAAAATGCTGGAAGCAGAAGTTAAAGTGATGTACTTTGAAGGTAGAGAAACGAACTACAAGCTAAGGAATGCAGGGGCCTCTTAGAATCTCAAAAGAGAAGGATTTGGGTTCTCATCTGGAGCCTACAGAAGAAATGCAGCACACCTACACCTTGATTCTAGTGCCTTAAGACTTAATTTGTTTGGACTACTGCCCTCCAGAACTATAAGAAAATATATTCGTGTCGTTGTAAGCCTCTAAATTTATGGTAATTTGTTACAGTGGCATTCGAAACCTAATGCAAGGTACTTGATTAAAACCTAGACATAAGCCAAAGTTACAAATCGGTTGCCTAGAGCCATCAAAATGTTTTATTTGATCTAAACATTTAAAACATTTTCACATGGTTTCCAACATTTACAACCAAGTGATATCACACCAAAATCTGGACTTTTGAGTTGCTGAAAAAAATAAGGTCAACTTTTTCTGGGAGGGCAAAAAATTAGTTGGAGCTGAGTGTAGTTCAGTGTGCTACATAGTACACATAGTACTTCATTTGTCTGAATGTTTAATATAGGAAGGGTCCATACAGTGAGACTGAAGGGAAACTGTGAAGACTGTAGGTTATTCTTATTTTATTTTGCAATAGTTCTTTTTACTATTAAAAATAATAAAGCTGTATTTATAAGAAGTTTTTCAGTGTGCTGCTTTGAAACTTGAAATTAATGAGTAATAATTTTCATAGGAATGAGATTTAGGAACTATGAAGATATAACATCTGTAGTTTCTAAATACCTTCATTTTAAAAAGAGTGAGGAATGCTTAGTTCACCTTAAACAAATGAGCAAATTTATAAAACTATGTATTGAGTCTAAAAACTTTAGCATCTATAATTTTTTAGTGTTTTAAAACTATTAGATATTGTGACAAGATGTGCAAGTGTTACAGATTACAACAGTTGCTTAACAATTTTAAGTAAGGTAATATGTCGGCCTGGAATTAGAGTGATATCTCCATTTGGAGATGTGCTAGAAAAGCTTTATTATAGCTAAAATAGCACTAAAAATGAGAACAGGTATTATCTGGGCCTATAATGTAAGGTGATTATGCTGTAAGGAATATGTTTATAATGAAATTTAAATGTTCAATAGTGCAATAAAATAATCAGGATTGAGGTTTATTATATAATGAATAAAAATACAAACACTTTAGGGAAATCTTAGCAATATTTTAGAATTTCTCTAATAAATATCTTTATGAATTTTAATGTGCTTTTAGTAAATGATATCGAGAGAGATGTCAATGGAGATTAAGTTATATTTCTCTGCAGAAAATAAGCACTGTTGAGATAATATCACAGTTCTAGAAGATTTTGAAATCCAAGTTCTCAAATAAGGTACACTGCAAAGTAGGCGAACACTATATGAGTGTTCTGGAACTGATGTTGCTAGGCACTGCTTCCTTCTTAGAGGATAGATGTGTTCTAAATTAGTTATTCGATTCTAATTTTGGATGATTAACTTTTTAAAAAAATAATATATTCCTATATAAATTGAGCCATGTCGTAGTCATCAGCATATTTAAATATGAAAATTCAATAGAAAATTTAAGTAAAATTTACAGGGAATTGTTTTGTAATGTGAATAATTATTTGGCAGGAATTTTTTTTAAATCTCCATTTAATTATCTGGTTTGTAAATCTGAAATGTCAGCACTTTTGTTTAAAATGGTATACATGAGTATTCTTAAAATATAAATGATTGAAAAGAGCAAATTGGTGTCATCTAGAACTAGTTACTACTTATAATGTGCTCGTTACTTAGCTGTAATATTTTATAATGTAAGATTTTAATACATTGTAATAGTTATATTTCTTAAATAGACTACAAGTTACTCCACTTTTCAAAATGAGTAGCTTCCTTTTTACTGCTGTTTGTTGTCAGGTTGTATATTTTAGACAGGTTAGAATGAAAAAAGAACATAGTGCGTAAATGCAGGGAGTGGTAAGTGACTACTTTGCATTAAGATGTTTATTCTTGAACATACTGGGCTATTGCACTTGCTTGATCAATGGTCATATTGAGAGCCAGCAACTAGAATAGTGCGTATGACCACTCTTCTGTTGCTTAATCCTAGCAGTGATATGTGGTAGAACTCTGATGCAGTTTGTTAAAGCCAGACATTAACAGCTGCAGTAGTTTTCCTATTGAGCTATCATGACATAGTTACTTACCACCTTTTGTTTTTAATAAGCTTAAAACAACCATATCCTTTTGAAAGTAGTGCTGTCCAATGGGTTCAGCTCAGCAGTCAGTACAGTACTAAGAATTTGATTCTTTTCAACAAGTAACATATATTACTTAATATGTAAATCTGAGTAATTTTCAAAGAGGCAATGGCATTCAGCCAAATGCTAATGTCAGTAAAACTGAATTTGGGAATAAAAGAGTCATCTACAAACTGCTGTTATTAAACATCAATGGAATAAAGTATTTGAATAAAATATATAGTGCTCTGGAACATTGGATTAATGAGTAGCATAAATCTACAGTACATAGGTGAGCATTTTTATTAATAGATACAAAAATAGGCCTCAGGTATACCCAAGACCTCGGCTGGCTGGGAATGATACGCTTCAGAAATTGACCTGTGATTCATCCAACTCACATAACCTACTCTGTAATATATGGTGGTGTTTTGTACCAGTTACTTGTTTGTTGTGTAAATGGTATTAATGCAAAGTTTTCGTGTACAATGAACCCTTGCATACTTGTCACCCACTATATCCACTTCCATAACGCCTCCTCCCACCTTCTCCCAGCTGGATAACTTTGAAGCAAATCTTGTAGTTACAGTAAA